TATACAGGACAGTGAGGATGGAGGAGAGGTTTCCATGCAGTTTCTCAGATGGCAATGTTCCGAGTGCAGGCATAGGATCAAAGGACATGGGGGGTGGCTTCAGCAGAGAGAAAGCAATGCCCGGAGGAATATGGTAGGTTAAGAATTTGTGTGCCTAGTGGTCCTTGACAAAAAATATGAATTTTAGTTTAGTTGTAATGGGAAACTATTGGAGGATTATTTGCAGGGAAATGACCTTAATTCTACAGTGGGGGTGGGGGTGGGGAGAGAGAAGCTACTGTGTGAGAATAGTATGGGAGCAGGGAGACCAGGCCAGAGCCACCAGTGGCTTGAACAAAAAAACAATAAGGACCTAAAGACTGACTCAAAGAAATTAAGTGAATCTAAAAGTAGTAATGAAGATCTGATGGACAAGTCACAGAAAAAGAAATGCAAATTTTCTTTAAACATGTCTTCACACAAAAGAAATATGAATAAAACTATATGTAGTTTCTCTCCTATTGGAAGAAGATCATAAAGTTGGCACTGCACTCTTAGATAAGGCTGTGAAGAAACAGTTACTTTCATATATTGCTGATGGAGCGAGCTGTGTGCCCTCTAATGAGGCAGGCCAGCTCAAGGCCATCGAGTAGGAATTACCTGACTGGGATGAAAAGTGTGGACTCAGAGTGATAAAATTGTCAGTATATTTGCTAGTTATTAGACCCCAAGTTTTCTGTTTGGGCCGTAAAACTATTAATGTATAGTAAAAGCAGTGTATAGTATAGGGATGATAGAACAGTTCAGTAGTAAATGCAGGAAGCCTTAAGTAAACAGGTGCCCAGCAGTTGGCTCAGAAACTGCTGACATTTCCATTTAATTGTAATAGATTGACATCAAAGTCTTTTTGAAATATGCTGCTTTTGTCAGATAATTTGTTGGTCACCATCGTCATATTTTGACAAGGAAAAATAATTTATTGACATTTAACAATTATGTAACTTTAATGCTTTTACCTTTTGTCATGCATTTTATTTATGTTAAGGTCGCTTATATTTTCATATTTTTAACATCTGTGCATTTGAGATGGATCTTAGACTTGATGGAATCTTAGATTGGGGAAAAGCAGTATTTGATGTCAGGGGTTTTATACATTTCTTCCTCTTGGGAATATTTACATTGAGACCTTAGTTTAATTTTTTTAAGTCATACTTTTCCTGCATCATCCTATCATGTTGTTAAATTAAGTTGCAACTTTAATCATAATCCCTAATTATGAGTCAAGAATATTTCTCCTAAGACATTCTTAGAGGTTTCTAAAGAAATAATTTTGGGAAGGATTCACCTGTGAGATGCACAGTAATTTTATGACATCTCTGTCAATCGCTGTATGTGCAAGTGTGCATGTTGGGGAAAGGAGGGGGAGTGGTAATGATTTGCTTAATAGTTTGCAGTCTTACCTTTGTTATAGTGAAAATAATGTAGTCAAATTTATCATAGTTTCCTTAGGCTCTTGGGAAACCAATTAATGGAGAGTACAGAAATACTGTGGGTATGAGTTTACTGTCTAATGGCTCACATATTCATTCTATAAAATAGTGATGCAGTATTTGTCATTAACAAAAAGTACAAGTTATGTATAAAATATTTTTAGGCTATAAACAAAATACTTTATAAATGCCTCATGCAAACTGGCAGTAGGGCTCTATTGGGTACAATACAAATGACGGGCAACATACCAGAGTGGAAATAACACTATTAACTATGGTCAAACTGTGGAATCCAAGAAATTCAAATTAGAGAGACTGTGGGGGTTCCTCATTCACATTGCTACTTCAGCTTTGGATACTTGGGGGTTAGGGGAATCTTAGTGATGTGAATGTCTCTCTAATTTGAATTTTGGTAACATTATACACACATATGCCCCCACCCTTCTGGAAAGCAACTTAGTATTATATATTGAGCCATGAAAATGATCTAATCTTTTGGTCTAGTCATCTTATTTTGAAGATCTTTCCCGGGGAGATTAAAAAATTGTGTTTTAAAAAACACTGTATGCGTGAAGATTTTTCCTCACAGTATTATAAGAATGGAACTTTGTAAGTTCCTAAACCTCAATAGAAGATTGGCTAAGTAAAGTATGGGAATAATACTTGAGAGTGGGCCATTATGTCATTAAACAGTAAATATACTGCAATGGGGTAGAGATCACATAAATTGTATACTGGTTAGAGCTTTCTTTAAAAACAAAGTATAAGAAAAGTAACTAATAGAAATGGTTGTGAGTATATGGGTAATTTTTATTTTTTTATTTTTTAAGTTTTGGTTCTTAAATTTATTTAAAATATTTAGGAATATTTTCCCCCAAACAATATGCTTTTATTAATATATTGATTTTTCAGTTAGGTTATTTTTATTGTTCACCATAGAAGATAAAGCTGTAGTCTCTTTTTTTTTCCCAATTACAGTTTACATTGAGTATTCTCTGTCAGTTTCAGATGTACAGCAAAGTGGTTAGAGAATCATGTACTTCATAGAGTGGTCCCTCCACCCCCACCCCGGCTGCTTCAAGTACCCACCTGGCCCCATACCTATTTATCTCAATATTATTGACTATGTTCCCTTTGCTGTAATCTACATTTCTTTGGCTATTCTGCAGCTACCAATTTGTACTGCTAAATTCTTGACATTTGGGCTAGTTTTGCTTTTTTTCTTCATGTTGTCATTTTTTTTATCCCAGCCTTCATGATTTTGTTTGTTTTTATTTATTTATTTATTTGGTACGTGCCCCTAGCAGGAACCGAACCTGGGTCTCTCTGGTCCACAGGCCGACGTTCTGAACGCTGAGCCAAACCGGCCAGGGTGGGTATATCGTGGTTTGGAGAGAGAGAGAGAGAGACAGAGAGAGAGAGAGAGAGAGCTCGCACGCGCGCGCGCATGCGCGTGCACGTGTGTGTGTTTAAGCCTGTGTCTTCTTTGATTCTGGTACTTTTCCTGGACTTCCCATTAAAAAACTTATGCCCTGGCCGGTTTTCTCAGTGGTTAGAGCTTTAGCCTGCCGACCAAAGAGTTGCAGGTTTGATTACAGTCAAGGGCATGTGCATGGGTTATGGTTTGGCCCATGGCTCTGGTGTCTCTTTCACATTGATGTTTCACTCTCTCTCTCTTCCTCCCTCCCACTCTGTCTGAAGATAAATAGAAAAATGTCCTACTGTGAGGATTAAAAAAAAAAACTCAACCCCTGGCCTGGTAGGTAATTAGAGCATCGTCCCCATATGCCAAATTTGTGGATTCGATCCCCATTCAGAGCACATACAGGAGTCAACCAAAGAATGCATAAATAAGTGGAATAACAAATTGATGTCTCTCTCTCACTCTTTTCCCCTTCTTCCCCCTCTCTTTCTCTCTCTCCTTTCCTCTCTCTCTAAAATCAGTCAGTACATTTTTAAAAATTTAAAAACTTTATCATGCCATAGACACTGATACATAATATGGCTACTTCTGTAAACTTCTGATTATTTTTTAGATTCAAATGCAGTATATTTGCTGTATATTTGGTAGGAAGTAGTCCTGAGTCCTTTCAGAAGCCTGAGGTTAGAGGCAGTTGTGAAGATCTCTGCTTGTCACTTTGTGCACAACTGAATTAATTTATTTTTCTAAATAGCTAACATTGTCTCATTTTCAAAATATGTGGGGGGAAAAAAAACCTTTAAAATAATTTTATGGGCCTTTTACATAAAAAATGTTGAAAAGAAGCTCCAAAAACAGTTTAATAAACTTGAAATTCAGTGGAGGAATTTCCTTAAAAAACAAAGCATATACATTAGCTATATACATTTCCAGTGCTGGCAGTACCATTAAAATGGATGTTTAAGATTCCTGTTAAACCAGGAAGCCCCAAATTTTATCTGCAAGATTATAACTGTATTACTTGGAGGGCTAAAAGGATTCTAGGTAGATAAATTTGTGAAATTCTGAGTTAGACATTATTACTAGACTAACTAGTTTTTAACGTAACATATCAATGTGCATTTTGATTTTCTAAGTAGCAGGGATATAGTGTATTTAGGTTTGACCACCAAATGCCCTTTTAAAAAATAGAACCATTATTATGTGGTTTGGGAAATAGTGCCTTAACTAACCATTCCTCTATCAAGATCTCTGTCCACTTTCTTAGACGATTAGTTAAGTGGTTGGAGTTAGTACATTACCATTGTTGTTTTAATGACAAGTTTATTATTTTTGTGTGGTGGCAAACTTTGTTTTGTGATCATTCAAGTACCTATATTGTATTCTTGCTGAAACAGATTATCCCACCTTGGTGCAAGGTGGACTGCAGACAGGCCTGTTTTTACATAAGTACAGCAAATTTTTTTTTTGCAAACAGCCTTATGATCAGCTCCAGAAAGTATTCTTATTGAAGCCCCTAAATTCTCATGTGGCATGGAAGGAAGAAGTAAGACTTTAGCTTTGGAAATTAAGGGCAAAAAGTTTAAAAATCACTTTTATGGAAGTATTAAAAAATCACTATCATGAAAGGGTTCCTGTAGATTAGAACATTGAGCTTTTATGCTATCTTTTTAAATCTGCCATGATTGAATAGCCCACATGTAAACCACAGCTAACTAAATAAATTCATTTGTTGAATGGAGTTAGAATTAGCCTAAATGTCTAAAGCGTGTTTGCCAAAAACAACTCACTTGGTTTTGGTATATTTAACATATTAGTTGGTATCTAACAGAATTAGCCACAGCATAACTTGCTTCTTGAGATTGTTCCTGGAATGTGCTTGTAAGATCAGCATAAAGGAGGGTGACTATGTATTTTTAATTGATAAATAGAAGGGGGAAAACATTTTTTCAGTAGAATTTTTATATAGTTACCTTTATTAAAATTGGCTTGTTGTCATTACTAAAAAGTCCTCCCAACATTGTTAAAAATGATTACTATTGACGTGTAGCTATTGATATGTTTTTGTACTCAACTAAATTATCATGCCCTTTTCTCTTCTTTTTATACAGAGTTAGCGTTGGAATCAAACCCGTCTGACCATCCAAGGGCAAGCACAATTTTCCTGAACAAATCTCAAACGGATGGTAAGACAATATTTTTTTCCTCTGAGAAGATTGAAAACTGGTTTTGTTTTATGTGTTAGAGAAAGTATTCAGTGAGGAGAAAAGGCAGATTCTCTGTTTACACATTTTGCCACCTCTTTATCAACACAGTTAAATTGGCCACATGATTTAGATGTGGTCTGTTTCTCCAAATAGCTATGTCCTTTTCCCCTTGCACCAAAGAGCACTCGTTTTAAGATGAGTGGTGGAATTTAGGTCACAGTTAGGTTTCATTTGAACAAATCAAAAAAATCAGTTTGTATATTAAGATAGAATTCGTGATTTTGGCCCCCCCCCCCTTTTTTTGATACATGCCCCTAGCAGGAACTGAACCCAGTACTCTGGTCTGCAGGCCGACGCTCCAACCACTGAGCCAAACCGGCCAGGGCTTGGCCCCATTTTACACAGTGCTCCACCAAATGATCCTACCTCACATCCAGATTTATGCTACCCAAAACCTTTAAGCTATTTAAAACTTTCTCATCCTAATGTAATCCTGTGCCAAGGTACATCAGAGCAAACATATCCCTGTGGGGTTTCCCAAAAAGTTAGCCTCAACGAGTATAAATTTCCTGTATCCTGTTTGTTTTAGGATAAGAATCAGAACTACTATAGGATTTTTAACACTCCTGCTTGCCTGCTTATTTTCCTTAATGTTATGTTAAATCTAGTTTACTTGCTTAAAAAGCCTCACATGACCAAGTTTTCCACTTATGACAGCAGAAGTACAAGAAGTGAGGGTTCCATAATCTTTGAAGTAATGCAGCACAATAAAAAAAAAAATGAGGGTTCTAACTTGTCTTTTCATGGTGAATGTGTATTTTGCCTGTCTTGAGCTGATCGTTTGTGGTTAGAATTGCTGTATTTCTGTTTTTTCCAGAGTCATGGGCTGCTCACATGTAAAGGAAAAGCTGTCCCATGCCTCTCTCTCCAGTCCTAAGGAATGTGTGCCTATGGTGCCTTCCTACAGTAAAGAAGGCAGTGTGGAAATAAAGTACAGTCCAAGACTTTCTTTGGGGCTTCTGTTCTTCTTCTGGCCTTTGTTAGAGAAAATTGATTTTGTGTGCTTATAGATATGTTCGATTAGGTCAGCACACTTATTTTACTATTTAAATTTAAGTAGGTTACTTTCCAATTGAGTAAAGACATTTATTTTTTAGTAAGGAATTTTAGTTGATTACCAATGAGTGGTTCAGGATGCTTCCTGGGATGCTGGTGCATCTGGGAATTAGTGCCTGGCCAGAAACTGGTTCTTAGAGCTGTCAATGGTTAGATCCTAGTGATTCAAGTAAGGTGGGTACAAATGTAGTGTTAGAAACTACTACGGTGTAGTCGTTCAGATATGTAACGGGTAAAATGTATTAGCTAAGTTTCTCACCTGGCCTAATTTGCATTGCCTCTTCTGCTGTACATGGAGAGTCTTTCATTTGTACCTAATATAGACTATCTGTTAGTCAATAACTAAAACTAAGTTTTTAGATTCACTTTGTGGTGCTCATCTAGCCAGGTGATTTAAATTATAAATTTTGTTGGAAATTATTTTTAAAATGGAATGGAATTTTGTCTTATTTTGTGTGTTGGTAATCTGTCAGATAATCAGCAACTTTTATTTTTCTATGGCATTTGTATCAGAATTGATCAGTTAATTTTCTTTATTCTTAGTGCGAGAAAAGAGGAAGAACAACTATGTAAACCATGTAAGTAAACAGTTGAAAAGTTAAGTAAGAAACTAACAGTTTGAATTAAAAGTTGTCTGCCATGATTCCTAAAAAATATAATGGACCCAATACCAGTAGCATGGGCATCTTTTTGTAGATTTTCTAAATCTTTTTTGTTTTCCTAATTATAAAATGTCAAGTCAGGAAAGTCTATGGCTTTAGTAATGCCCATTTTTTAAGGGTTCTGACATTTAAGTTAAATTTCAATAACATGGTTGTGGTATAAAGATCTGCGTTCATTTTTTTTGCCTTACTTTTAAAATCTTATTTAAATATATATATATAATATAGCTAAGTTAATTTTTAGCACGATCTATTGACTTCCTGTCATAGTAGGTGAAAGCTTAGCTTTCTTACTCCACCGTGACCATACTTCCCTCCCTCCATTTCCTCAACATGTAAATCAGAATCAGTGTTTACATTATTATAACTATACAAATATTTTTTACTGCTGAGCCATATAATTCTCTGGTTGTGCCACTTCATTCTTTTTCTCAAGTATAACTGAAATCTGAGCACTTTTACACTTTTCCAGCATAATCGAATCCCCCTCTACCTAGCTAAGATTTCACATAGCCAAATTCAGTAAGTAGGCTAGTTTCCCTGCTTTAAGAAAACAAACCCACATTTTTGTGTACTTAACAAATGTAGTAATTTGACAACGATGACTATAAGACAGAAATACTACATTTATGCTACATTAAGTTAATACATAGTAATTCTTCATTGGTGTGTGGGATCATTTTCCTGACTGTGTTTGCTTGCCTGTTTTCTAACAACTATTTTTCCCCCAAATGTAACATTTGTCACATGCCTATCAAAAACATTTTCCATTTACCAAACACATTTTTTTTTTCTTGGAAACAACCTTCCTCAGCTTTTTATCATCCTACTCTAATGTAAACTGGTTTTCCCTAGGCCTGCTCTGTGCCTGTTTTCCTGGTATATCTCTTTGAAGTCATCTAGGATCTCACATAACGGCTCTCTTGTGTTGGATCCCCTATGTCCCAGATTCTATGTTTCCCTCTGTCTTGTTATACTTCTCAGTTTTAATGGAGCACATTTCCCTGGGAAATGGTACATGGGCAGACGTTTTTAGAGATCTGGCCTCTCTGAAATGCCTCCTATTTGATAAAGTATAGAATTCTAGGTTGCAACTAATTTTTATAGTTCTAAAGACATTTCTACTGTTTTCTCATTTTCATTGTTGCTATTAAATCTGTTGACATTGTTTGATAACATTGTATATTAACAATGTTAGTCATTTTCCCCCATCCCTTCCTTCTCTGGAAGCTTTTAGTACCTTCTCTATTCCTGGGATTCCATATCATAAATTATGTCATATATCATAATATCATATCCATATGGTTTGGTATGTACCTTTTCTTTATCTTTGTAGCCATTTAGTCTGCAGCTCTTCTCTCATTTCAGTGAATTAAAAAAAAATGTCTAGTATTTGTATTTCTCAGAAGTTGGAACTCTTAGAATAATATTCCTGCATTAATTTTTAAGTTTCTCCCCCTCCTATTTTCCATTTTGTTTTTTTCTACTTGCTAGAGATTTGCTTGACTTTATGCCCCAACCTTTCTATTGAATTCTTTGTTTTGTCTATCTTGTTTTTAATTTATGGAGTTCTCTTATATTCTGTCATTCTTCTTCTTTTTTTTTAAAAATAGCATTCAATTTTTCTACCAATGCAATTTTTTGTTTTTCTGAGGTTAAGAATTTTTTTTTTTCTACGTTTTCATTTGCTCCTGAATTTCATCACTCCCATTAATTTCCTTCTTTCTGTTTTGATCTCTCTTCCTTGTTGGCTTTCCTCGTGTGGTGGTCCCTGGCTGTATCTTGAGATCTAATTGGAAGCACCAGGAGTGAGCAGGACTTTTGTTAACTAATAGGCCTCATTGCAGGATTTTGGGGTCAAGCCTCTGAATTCTGAACCTGCCTTTGGTTCTGTCAGATAAACTGACTTTCTTATTCCTGTGCCAGCCACTATTTATAGGCACCAAGTTTGTGCTTCCTCTGTTCTGCCATGTCAGTTACCACTCCTTTATCTAGTCTTCAGCTTTCAAACATTAAAAATTACCTGCTGTTTGTCCTATATTATATATAATCTTTTTTTATGCCTTTAATTCTAATGAGATATCTGTGCAAGGAGGGGGAGAGGAAATAGAATTGTAGTCAGTCCAGCATATTTAACTTAGATTTACACTTTAAATATAGATTCTGAGTTTCAGTTTAAAGTTTTAATTCAATATAATGATATTAATTCAGGGAATATTTTTGGCTATACCTATAATTAGCATACTATACTTCTACTAACGTCTTAATTAAGAATTCTATTCAAACCACGTACCCTGCCATATTGTCCCATTAATGTGCAAAGTGGGTAGAGCAATTTTCATTAATGCATAAAGTGTTAGAAATTTTTAAGTTAATTAGAAGTCATTAATTCTTAATATTCAAAATTTGAGAAAAAGTAGAGAAAAGTAAACGTCAGCTTTATTTTTCAGTGGGCTAAGATGAGGTAGTGAGCACAATGGGTGGGGGCAGAATTTCAACAGATACTTGACCTTTGATAGTACGGTTTGGGTTGTGACTTATTAGACTTCTAGGTATGATTATTTTTCTAGTCTTTGCCATTGAACCTTAAGTCTACCTTAGTAACCCCTTCACTTTCTTGTAAAGATTGTAAAAATTCATCTCGTCTCTCATTAGTGCTGAATGAATGAAAATAAAGTATGATTCTTTGTCTTTGTCTATTCTGGTGACCAATTTTAATAATACCTACGAACACAAAATTATCAGTAGTGTTTTGGCTGTTTAATTTTTGTTGTTGTTATTTGCATTGTTTTCTTTATGTTTGTCAGTATAGTTTATTGAGGTTGTAAGCCAGCAATAGTAAGGCTTTAACTATAAAGGACATTTGTCTTAAATTTTCAAGCAAGATGAGGGGAAAGTAACCTGCTGACAGCCAATATGTTCAGGCTCTGCTCAGAGGCTTAATTCTGCCACCCTCTAGTGAATACCAGATACTTGATCCTAAAAGTTTTTTTGTTTTTTTTTATCCTCACCCGAGGACATTTTTCCATTTTTTGTTCAGATAGAGTGGGAGGGAGAGAGAGAAAGAGAGAGAGAGACAGAGACATCGACGTGAAAGGGACACATTGAGTGGCTGCCACCCACATGACCAACCAGGGCCGGGGACAAACTGCAACCGAAGTACATGCCCTTAGCGGGAACCAAACCTGGGTCTCTCTGGACCACAGGCCAACGCTCTTAACTGCTGAGCCAAATCAGCCAGGGCCTAAAAAGCTTTAATAGTAAGGAGTAGGCCTAGAGTGATGGGCAAGTGTTTAGTGTTTCTTTGGTTGGACCTATCTAGTAGATTGTAAGTTGCTGGTTTACCAACTGAACCCCGATAGGGTTATAAGCCCATGTCTACTTAAGAATTTAAAATGTTTTGGCACTAATATTTTCAAAGACAAATCGACATACATTTATAATAGAAAAAAATATAAGTAGAGGGAAAGGGAGCAAATATCACTCAAGCTTTATCAACTAGTCTGTATTTTGGTACATTTTTCCCCTGTTCTTTTTTATTCTTTTTAAATTTTTTTTTTTTATCCTCACCCGAGGACATTTTTCCATTTTTTTGTACAGATAGAGTGGGACGGAGAGAGAGAGAGAGAGAAACATCGACGTGAAGGGACACATTGAGTGGCTGCCACCCGCACGACCAGCCAGGGCTGGGGACAAACTGCAACCGAAGTACATGCCCTTAGCGGGAACCGAACCCGGGTCTCTCCTGACCGCAGACGGACGCTCTAACCACTGAGCCAAACCGGCCAAAGCTCCCCTGTTCTTTATACAGCCCAGTGTATAGGTTTTGGGTCATGATTAGACTTTATTTTGGTGTATGATATGCCACATTATACCTTAATATTAGTGATCTTAAAAGATAACTTTCCATTTAGAATAAAAGTATTTTAATGAATTTTCATTTTTCATGCTGTATCTTTTGAGATCCCAAAAGTAAATTACATGTTAACTGCATAGCTTAAGGAACATATCCGAGTTTTAGCTGTAGTTAAAACATTTCTAGCTTGAAGGAGAATTTATTCCTCCAAATAGTAGTACTTTTCAAAAATATACTGTCTGGAACTTTTGGTTAATAAAGAATAAGTGGCTTTGCAGTAAAATATCTGAAACAAGTGAAATGGTATTGTATATAATAATATATGGATATTGCTGATTATTAGCTACTGGCAATTTTTAAATGCTCTGTATTTAAAAGGCATCAATGATACTTTCTCCCTACTCCATATTTTATGTATCTGTACTCCATATTTTATGTATTTGTGGGGGATACTGATGGGATAGTATGACAGCATGATAAAGACAATTTTATATTAATATGAGGAAGGAAGGCTCATCTGAATTAGTTTTAAAAAGATACAACAAAACCGAGCATATTAAAATTGTTGGTATTCTGTAATTTTAAAGAATGCTACTATTACTTTCAACTACTTACAATGACTGGGATTAGTTATTGGCTTTTAAGGAATAAAGTTGTCCTAACATAGATTAGGCTATTTCAGTATTTGATTATTGCTGTATTTTTGGGCTTTTTACAAATCAATGGATACTTCTAAAATAAATGGATACTTCTAAAGTGTTTTAAAGATAGTTTATTCTCTAGAGGGCCTCAAAAAGTTCATTGTCACCTCTCCAGTACCACTGCAGGTAAACTCTAATTTGTATCTGTAGTAAGACTTATGATCTTCCAGTTGTAATTAGTTTAAAATAATTTGCTAAACACTAGTTTAACTCCTAGATTCTGTGCTCACAGCTGGAGACAGGAAAAGAGAAAGGGTCCTCCCTCCCCTAGAGAAGCTAACTTTTTGTAAGGGGGATTCCCTGTAAGCAGTAGATACTAAGTAACAAGTGGTAACTTAGATGTGTGAGTGTACAGAAAGGGAGAAGTTTTGTATTGTGGGTGCTGGCAAAGGTGTCCTGGAGGTAGATGGGGGGTGGGAGAGGGTTACATTTGCTGGGACAAGGAGGAAGAAAAAGGCATTGTAGGTAGAGTAGCATGAGTGAGGCAGGGTTGTGATGAGTGCCAAATAACTTAGAGAATAGAATTAATAACATTTAGAAATTACTGGACAATATTATTTGAGGTTCTCACTTGAGTAATATAATGACAATCTTATTTAAAGATGAATTTAGAATTAAATTATCAAAGTTGTTTGATCTGTTTTTTTGGATGTGAGAGAATCTTACAACAATACTCTTTTATCCTCCAGATAGGGAAACAGACCCAGAGAGACCTTTGACTCCCTAGCTAGTTAGTAAATGGGCGACCCTGGCGCTGACGCACACACACACACTCACACACAAACGACTCGAATGTGTTTTGGCACACTGTCTCCTGAACTAGTGTTTATTATTGGCCTTCATCTACTGCAATAAAATGCTCTTGCTTCAACATTATGTAAGGCATTATATTTTATTGTAGTAAGTAAATAGAAATAGAAAATTTAGCTGCTTTTCATTGCTTAAGGAAAAAAAAAATACTGTAATCTTATTCTAAACTTTCTACATTATTATAAAGGGAATTTATAAGGGTTTGCCAGGTTTGATTATAGGTACTAATCAAGGGCAGAATTTTATAACCCATTCCTCAGATCTCGTCTTTGGAAGTTAGATTATCTAATGGGTTTCCCATAGACCTGCACATGGTATCTACACTCAAGCAGTTCATGGAGTATAAGAAGAATCTTAATGCTTAATTGTTTGACGTTTTAACCAAGGAAAAAACACACTTTTATAGGTTTAACTTACTGTGACATTTTCTTCTATTTCCCTTCCCCTTCAGGTATCTCCAGGGCACCTTACTAAAAAGTATAGCTCATGCTCAACAATATTTCTAGATGACAGCACAGTCAGCCAGCCTAATCTTAGAACCACAGTCCAATGGTGAGTACAACTAGGTTGCCAAGGGCTGAGTGACAGACCCCCTTATGCTAAAAGCATCCTAGCCATATATAATTTCAGTCATTTGATTGTCCTTTTCAGTGATCAGATGAAGCAACTGATGCCAAATATATATTGCTTTCAAGGACCTAAATATGAATTTTCAATTTCCATTTTAACCTTAGAGTGGATGGAAGAAAGGGAAGGCCAGTGAGCAAATAAGAAATCCGAGAAAAAGTACTTACCTTTATTTGATAATATTTCTGTTAAGATGTTGTTTAACATAATAAACAGGAGAGGTGCTTTTTATTGGATGTTTCTAGAAAAAAGTATTTCTTTATGAGATATAGGCCTAAAACACTGTGTACTACTTTGGAACAGCTTGTCCTCTACTGACACCAGAGTGTACGTACATTTTAGTATATGTGCTGCCGAAGTAAGCACAGAGTGTATGTACATTTAAATGTAATTGGATTTTGTCAGATTTTCTTCATCATACATTCTTGTACTATTTTTGTATAAAGATTCACTTCTCCTTCCTATCCCCTAAAGAGGGAGAAAATGTATAAAATAAGTCTTAAGGAACAACTTTTTAATTACATTTAATTAAATTTCTTTGTGGGTATAATTTGTTCAACTGACATTTTAATTTTAATTTTTTTTTATTTTAAGTTTTATTTTTTTATTCTCACCTGAAGACATTTTTACATTTTGTTCAGATAGAATGGGAGGGAGACAGAGAAAAACATCGATGTGAAAGGGACACATCGAGTGGTTGCCACCCGCACGACCCAACCAGGGCCGGGGACAAACTGCAACCGAGGTACGTGCTCTTAGCTGGAACCAAACCCAGGTCTCTCTGGACCATAGGCCGATGCTCCAGTCGCTGAGCCAACCCGGCCAGGGCCTGACATTTTAATTTAATGGATATATTAAATTTAATTTTATATATATGGATAGATATATACATATATCACCAAGACACTATATCAATCCATATATAAGAAAATCACAACAGAAAAAAATGAGAAAGGTGAAGTTTTGGAAAAATAGCCATAGTAAAGGTTATACTTAAGCAAATATGAACAGTGTGTCATGATGAAAACTATTCATTAATTTCTGGGAACACCACATAGTTCACAATTGGAGAAGCACTACTACGAACCTTTTAAGCATATTTAAAAGAGAAATAAACCAAAACAGGATGTAGAGCTTCCTGGTTCCCACTGGGATTGTCCAAGAAACAGTATCTCCTTGGAATATGAGTGTTTTCCCGAACACTCCCAGTTTGGGACAAGCTATCTGCAAATATATATTTTTAAATATGCTTTTACTGATTTTTTAGAGAGAAGGGAAGGGAGAGAGAGAGAGAGAGAGAGAGAGAAACATTGGTGTGAGAGAGAAACATCAGTTGGCTGCCTCCTGCACACCCCCTACCTGGAATCAAGCCTGAAACCCGAGCAAGTCCCTGACTGGGAATCAAACTGGGACCTCTCAGTTTATGGGATGCTGCTCAATCCACTGAGCCACACCGGCTGGGCTATCTGCAAATATTGATGTTCTCATCCCTAATTTTATTTTTCAGTCTTAAAAACATAATTACCTTATGCATTTAATTTTGTTTCTAATGTACCAGCTTTTTGCTGATTAAATTATAAATGACTTTTATTTTAATTAAAAACAGCAAATTCACAATCATAATAATGTAACTTTCTTCTCTCACTTATAACAGTAGTTGAGAACAAATTATGTTTCAGCAAAAACTGATCCTCATCTCTCTCTAAAGCCCTGAGCTTTGGCACCTATTGAGTAATCACTGAATATTTTACTCAGCCAAGACACTTAATCTGTGAGTAAAAAACCACTCGACTGTGGCTGCATTCTGTAGATTCTTTTGAATTCAAAAGAATCTGATATTATGGCATATAATTCAAAAGTAGTTTTAAAGATTAACCTTGCTCAGACAAGTTGGTTTCATGCTTAGTTCTCCAAATTAGTCTAATCTTTAGAAGTACAGTAAGTTTTAATTTGCTCATTAAGTTTTGAAAATAATCATTCAGTACATTCCCTATTGGCTAAATAAAAGTTTACTGAGAAAATTAATAGAGCTAATTGGCTTTTAGGAATGATTTTGAAAAATGTTTATCATGGGGTACATTGCTCTCAGTGGGGTGGGCAAGCCTTATTAGAATCACTAATGTAACTTTTTTCAAAATATCTCTCTCTAAACACATGCATTCCACCTCCCCTCCCCCAACATACTCTCTCACTCTCCCAAGCCTTTGATAAACTGAGGAAGGATGAGAGGCATGATTATATGAATAAAAGCATCCAGAGGGATTCTGATCTTTTTTTTTTTTAATTTTTCCATCACCTTTTATCCCCTCTATGCCCTCTTCCACCTCCACCCACTCCTCTCCACCCTTGCATTCAGAAGGATGTGAGGCACAATTACATGAACAAAAGCATCTAGAGTGATTCTGATCTTAAAGCTAGTTTGTGTTCCCAAACTATGCTACACATTGCAGCCTCCTGAGGAGCTTTATAAACAATCCCAAGTCTTCCCAGTGCCATTTAAATCAGTGTCTAGAGGTGGGGAAGCCAGGCAGTTTATAAGTCTTCTTAGATGTTCCCAAGGTACAGCTAAGCTTGGAAACAACTGCCTGGTTAGTGTATAGGAGAAAGAGAACTGCTTCTCACTATTGGTGGGACCTTGAGCAAGTTAGTTTTAAGCCTTGGATCCCTTATCTGTAAAATGGGTTGTTGAATTAAATGTTATCTAAGGTTCAGTGGTCATTTTCAGCTTTGAATTCTGTATCGAGCACTTTATTTACCTTTAGGGAAATGATGGGAAATTTTATGCTTTGAATTCTGTGATTTTAAAATCAATTTGAAGATGAAATGTTTGAAGCACTATAGAAGTATCCATCTTTGATGCTAACAATGGTACAGGCCTTTTTACAAGTGCTAATATTCTATAGACCTAGTTATAAAATTCAGATTTGCCTTCCCTCATTTATTTTGAGCTTCATTTTAGACACTGAGGGCAAAGAAGAGAAGCATATAACTTAACCAAGAGAACCCCTTTGTTGCCTAGTATACAATGTCTTTGAATAACTTAGGGATACAGTAATTTACACAGTATCTGAGGACTTACATCTGCTCATTAATATTTCATTTAGGCTAATTTGGAAAAAATTTATTAAATATTACACTGTCGTATTATGCTGCATTGTTAGCACTGCTTATTTCAGGATAGTTAGACCTATTGACTTTGTGGGTTCTTAGATTTGCTATTAAATTTTCTGATAATTATGTAAAAGTAATCTTAAATGATTGTATTTGGTATAGAGCACTTTATTTACCTTTAGGGAAATGATGGGAAATGGGTGGGTAGGTGGATAGTGAACTAAAACAACTGAAATGTAGGGCCTAATAACCTTTTAAAAAAACAAAAAACAAACACCGTATGGCTTAAATTTAAGCAAGTATACAAATAAATATAACTTGTGTAGGATGAAAGGTTCTATGGGTGAAAGGGCAAATGACAGGGAAAATATGCAATAACATGTATTATAATAATCAACTAAAAAACGTCTTCTTACAGCATATTACCTAACATTTGATTCTCCTATTTTTGCTAAAAGCCAAAGAACTAAAACAAGGGGAAAAGTGCCCATATGATACTGTTCTGATTGAGGATTTCAAGGCCACTCACTGGGCAGCTGGGAAGGTCTTCCCCACCCCTTATAAAAAATATGTTCAGACCTAACATATTAAAATCAAATGTTACAATTTTTTTTTTCCTCCACAGTGTGACCTTAGCGATATATTACCACATAAAGAACAGGTGAGTTTTAAAACCTGTCATGTTATTCTAGCTAATAAATTTACAAGGTATCAAGTTTAGTGTTAGGTAATAACTATAGACATCATTATAGTGAACTATAGAGTGCTTTTATTACATTATTGAAGTGAATCATTTGTTTTTGTCTTAGGACTCTTAACACTTAAGTTATTGTGGATCTCAAAGAGTATTTGTATTAGAAATTAAAATGGAGCATTTAAAAGTAAGTCCATTGTATGTTAAAACAGGGTTTTTATAGCACTCTTGAAATTTTGAGCTGGATTATTGTTGGTTGTGGCCGATTGTCTTGTGCATGATAAGATGTTTAGCAGCATCTGGCCTCTTCTCCATCTACTCATTAAATGCCAATAACACCCTCTCCCCGCTCCACAATGTGACAACAGAAAAATATCTCCAACCATGACCGAATGTCCCCTGGGGATAAAATCACCCCTGATTGAAGAACCATAGTATTAACATAATTTTTTTATGAAAAATAATTATTTTCACAACAGAAAAGTTGAGTGGAAAGTGTATCATTTATTTACATTTTTGTAAATCTCTTTAATGTTTGGCTTAATAGAAGTCAGCTGATTCTTATGTATACTTGGTCATAAATAATTTGCAATCACCTAAGTCATTTGTTCTGAAAAACTGTGTGAAGAAGATCCAGTCTCATATAGCTATATGACTAGAAAAAGGTATACTTAAAGCTTTCGGATAATTGTGGATATTCTTTGATACTGTACCAAAAGTCTACAACTGCTTGTTTCTTAAATTAATTACAGTGGAATTTTAAATCATTTCCATAAACTGTAGTAGATAATTTATTAAATTAATACCCATTGATCTATCTTGTACACTTAATGGATCTTTTACTTGTACATGACTTTATAATAATGTGTTGGTCATTCGGAAAGTATTGGTTCATATTTCTTTATAAAGGTCAAAAACTCACTTTTTTTTTTAAATCCTCACTCAATAATTTTCTTTTTATCTTCAGATAGAGTGGGAGGGAGAGAAAGAGAAACATTGACATGAGAGGGACACATTGACTGTTTGGCCTCCCGCACAACCCCAACCAGGGCTAGGGATGAACCGCAACCAAGGTATGTGCTCTTGACTGGAATCGAACCCACGACTCATTGGGCTGTGGGCTGACACTCCAACTGCTGAGCCAAACTGGCCAGAGCAAAAAACTCACTTTTGTTAGTATCACCACCAATCTTACCAGAAAGGTCTTTTAAGTATTGAAAAGCTGTCAAGCTCACATAAGAAGGTACACATTTCCCCAAATCCTTTTAGCTTGACAGCTTGAATTGTGTCATTGGTAACAAATATGCAAGTCATTTTCCTTGAAGTGATGGGTTCAGTTTTTGTTTTTGAGAGAATGACAGTTGTACTATCAAATGAAGATGTTATTCGGTCATGGTTGGAGATATTTCTCTGTTGTCACAGTGTGGAGCGGGGAGAGGGTGCTATTGGCATTTAGTGAGCAGAGTAGAGGCCAGATGCTGCTAAACATCTTATGCACAAGACAATCGGCCACAACCAACAATAATCTAGCTCAGATGTTATTTTATGAAAAAAGTGGCTTCTTCAGCTCACAACTAAGTCAGAAGTGCTTTTCCTTAACACAACCACATTCCAGAATCAGAAGTGCTTCATGCATACTTTCCACTTACTCAGAATATAAAAAAGAAGGATCAAAGTTTAATAACACTATCAATTTTTACTGCTTTATCAAGGGTGGTTGGTGTTAAGTAAAGCAGGTATTTTTTTCAACTGCGAGTAGCAGTGAAGAATAGAATGATACCTAGTATAGTTTGGTACCACTGCCTTGATTCATGCTCAGAAACCAGTTTTACTCACTTTTGCTTTTGTACAATCATGGCAAATGTCAGTGTTAAAGCAGACAATGCCTTAATATTCCTATAAAAACAGTTTTGACCTCTTGGGCCTTCTAAAAAGGGTCTAGGGCAATGGTTCTCAACCTTTCACAGGGGTCGCCTAAGACATAGCAGTAGCAAAATTACAGTTGTGAAGTAGCAACAAAAATAATTTTATGGTTGGGGTCACCACAACATGAGGAACTGTATTAAAGGGTCGTGGCACTAGGAAGGTTGAGAACCACTGGTCTAGGGGATCCCCAGAGGCCTGCAGAACATACTTGGAGAAGCACTGTTTAAATTAGTGTGGTGAACTTTTAAATCAAAAGACTGGTCACTTTTAAAATAAAAAGGTAAGTTTTTAGCTCAAACTATTTAAAAAGAGACAAGAAGAAATACATAACACTATAATATAAGAAACTAATAAGAAGGGGAAAAACATGAATCTCATATTCACAATTAAAATTCTAAGGACATTATTGCCTACTACTACTGCTTCATAAAATGTTCTTGTGTATTCCAGTGTGAGGTTAGACTGGAAATGCATTTAGTTTACTAGCATTGCCTGTTAGGGTCAATGCTTATAAAGGCAATTCTGGCTGGTCATTGTAGAAAATATTTCAGAGAATTTGATGTGCTAAGTACAAATAGATCAGGAAACCCTCTTAAAGAATCTAAGAGAATTATTTGTAAAACTGCTTTGTTGAAGGTTAAGCTTCTTCCTCAACCCCTATCTATACTCCTAGCAGTTCTGTTCCTAAGATATTAATAATTTCTGAATTAATTTTTAAAAAACATTCTTATATTTTAGAGATGCAAATAGATCGTTGGATATTTTTGATGAGAGATCACATCCACTCACAGTAAGTCAGTTTTATTGAGGTTGCATTTTTCTCTCATACAGTTGTGTTTATTTCATGCTGATTTGCTTTTAAATTAATTACTAGAATAAAATTACTCCCTCCAGCTTGAAGTCAAAATTATCTTCCTTGAAATATTCTTACCCACCCCATGTTGTGACTAATTATTTTAGTAAAGGAGTGTTGTATAAGAAATATGTCAGTAAGAACTGAGTTGTAGATTTGTATAATTAGTGAGCTAAATAAATGTACCCCAAAACAGAAAATAGATCTTTGTAAAAGATAATTTTCAGTAGTGTCAAATAATGTAAATATTTAGATATAAAATTAATACAGATGTTAACATCTCTATGAAGAAAATTAAATGACTATTTAAAACTTAAATAAAATAAAATGACATTTTTAATTTTACTTCTTCAGATACTCTATAGCAGTATGTGGCTGGGGACTACTGTATAAGGCAGCACAACCTTAGAGCCTTGTGGTTATAGGAAAAAATATGTATTTTCAGAGTGGATTGCAGAGAAGCATGACAACGGTGATCAAGACTTTTGAGCCTAAAAATAATTTACATTTAGATAGAATTCTGTAGCGGGAAGGTGGAAAGGAACATAAATAAATTATCTGAGGTTGTGCCTATATTTTTCTTTAATGAATGGTGGTGGGTAATTGAATCACTATATAGTTTTTAAGATCCCATTGTTTGTATTTCAAAGACTGAGAGACATGTCACCTAATAGAAATTATTTTAAGGAATAGACGGGCACAAGTAGAAGACTGCTAAGAGTACTTAAGTATTTTTCTTCACTGCATACTTATATTGCGTTTTTTTGTTTGTTGTTTTTTCCCTTTCAGCGAGAAACAGTTCCAGAGGAATACTTTAAGCATGATCCTGAACACAAATTTATTTACAGATTTGTTCGGACTCTTTTCAGTGCTGCACAGCTAACAGCGGAATGTGCAATAGTAACTTTGGTAAGATAGTTCTTTCAGAAGCATTTTTTTCTGTCTTGTACACAGGGTATTGGTCCTGTTTTTGAAATAAAAGTAGGTTCATGAAATGGTCATCAGAACTTTACTAAGAGAAACCCATCACTCGGCTGGTGTGGCTCAGTGGTTGAGCATCGACCCATGCACCAAAAGGTCACCGGTTCGACTCCCAGTCAGGGCACATGCCCAGGTTGTGGGCCAAATCCCCAAGGGGGGGCATGCAGGAGGTGGCCAGTCGATGTTCTCTCTCATCGATGTTTCCAGCTCTCTCCCCCTCTCCCTCCCTTTCTCTCTAAAATCAATAAAGGAAAAGAAAAAAAAGAGAGAAACCCATGAAAGGAAGTAAAATACGGACATTTGAGCTAAGTAATCATTATGATTTAAAATGTTGCCATTGCTTTTCTCATCACAAACAATTGCTATTAAAGGCAGCAGGAGACATTTCTGGTTTCTCCCTCCACATCTCAGGAGACACATACATATAGTGCACAAACACGCACACATACAAGGTGTGCTGGTGGGATAGGATGAGGCAGTAACAAACCTTCTGGTCTGCAGACAGACGGAGTCTAAGCTGAGCCCCAGGTTATATTCCTCAGGCAGTTATAATATGTGTCCTGCTTGAGAACGATAGCTTTAAATTCTCTGTTCCTTGGAAGATGGGTGTTAATTTCTTCCTGCTGTCCTTTTGTGCCTGCCTGTGAAGTTGCCAGGATGATAGTGCCATCAGTACTTGAAAGATGTTGCTAGTTGCCTGCTAAGCTACAGCTGTGTAAGGACCTTTTCGTCATCCATACAGAATTCCTTATGGTAAGATTTTATCATTTGGAATAATAAGTCCTATTCTAGTGAGAAGTAGTAAGGATTGTATTACCCCTTCATGCAGCAAACCTAAAGGGAAAAGTCAGCAGCGTGGTCTGGAGGAAAAGAATGCTTAGGTCAGGGTCTCCTCCTTTTAGTATCCAGTTAAAATTTTGGAGAGGCAGCTTGTATTTCTGAATAGAGACCCCTTAACGGGCACTTGATCAGACACAGGCCTTTTCATACAGCTGCTAGCCATTTGGAGTGCTTAGCACGTGCTGGAGAAAGGCAGGAGTGCTGCTTCCATATGGAGAGCTAGGTCATCCAGGAGGGAGAGCATCTGCGTTGGAAGAGGCAGGGGAGTTCTTTGTATACACGTTAAGCTTATGTTCTTGTAAGATGGTAGGGTGGCAATGTCTGGTAATCATTTGAATATATGGAATTAGAGCATGAATCTGAGCTACAGGTAGGGAATCAGAGTAGCTGTTCAGATGCAGAGAAAGCATGAATAAAAAGTGGATAGACGATAGAATAGTGAGAAAGTAGGTTTTCAGTGGATATTTATGGAATGAATAACTTCTTGGCAGCATTTAGCATTTGACCACACTCTTTCTTGAACCTCTACTTATCTGGGTTTCTCTTTGATTATTCTTGCCACAATTCTAGCCACTCCTGGGGACTAGTTCCATCAGTGCTGATAGTAGTTACAGATCTAAGTGCTGAGGATAGGAGAGAACAGGTTCAATCAAGTTCTTGTCGTAATGGAGCTTATATTCTAGTGAGGAAAGCAAGGTTTTTGCTGCTGCTGTTGTTAATCCTCACCCAAGGATACTTTTTCCATTGAATTTTGGAGTGAGTGGAAAAGAGGGAGTGGGGGGAGAGAGAGAGAGACAGAGAGAAACATCAGTGCTGGAGAGACACATCAATTGGTTGCCTCCTGTATGTGTCCCAACCAGGGCTGGGAATCAAACCTGAGACCCTTCAGTGTGAGGTCTGATGCTTTACTCACTGAACCACACCAGCCAGGGCAAGGTTTGTTTGTTTGTTTTTTTTAATCCTCACTCAAGGATATGTTCCTATTAATTTTATCAAAAGAGGAAGTGAGAGAGAGAAAAAGAGAAACATCAATGTGAGAGTTAAACATTGATCGGTTGCCTTCCTATACATGCCCCCCCTGGGGATTGAACCCAAAACCTAGGTATGTGCCCTGACGGGACATTGAACCCTCAACCCTTTGGTGTACAGAATGATCTAACCAACTGAGCCTCCCAGCCAGGGCAGTATTTTTTTTAATAAGTGTTTTTAAAAAGAAGATAAAGCACGGTAAAGGGATAAAGTGACTGAGTGGCTTGCTATTTTAGATAGAATGATCAGGAAGAACCTCTTAAAGTAACATTTGAACTGTGACCTGACTAAACTGAGGAGGACAAGGAGCTCGGGCATTATAAGCAGAGGGAACAAGTACAAGATTCTGAGACAGGAACAGTGAGGCATGGCCAGTGTGGTCAGAGTGTGAAATGAGGGAAAGAATGTAGGACACAAGGGCATAGAATGTCCTATCTTAGAGGGCCTTTGTAGGCCATGGGAATAAGTGAATTTTTGTTTGATGGGAAACTTTTGGCAGATACTGAACAGGGGAGTGAAGCACTCTTAATTAAAGATGCTATCCTGGCTGCTTTGGAGAGAATAGGCTGTAACTGGACATCCAAGTGCAGGCAAGAGAAGTCAGGAGGCATTAACAGTGATACCAGTGAGAAATGACAAGTAGAATAGAAAGTGGTCAGATTATCAATGATAGGTAGAGATAACAAGAATTGCTAACAGATTGGGGCAGGCTAATGCAAATGGAGGTTTTGGGCCCAAGCAAATGACAGTGCCTTTTGTTTTTAGGGAAGGCTTGGGGAGTGGTGAGTTGGGATGAAGAGCTCGTGTGTGTATGCGAGAAGGCACCTTAGCAGTAGTAGTTTCAGCAGAGTGATAGTGGCAGGGGGCAGGCTAAAGTGGGTTAGGGAGAGAATGGGAGATGAGAAGCAGCATCAGGGCATTTCCTGTGAGCAAAATGAGAGGGAAAGCATTTTAGGGGTTGTGGGGTGTGGGCGGGGCAATGTAAACAAATTCACATTGGGAAAATCTCTGGCAGACTAGGATTCTTCTTCAAAGAGGTAATTGTGGAAACAGTGTTCTGTAGGAGTGGGATGGGATCGACTTCACTGATAGAAGAGCTAGCTTCTGTGAGAAGGGAGACGTCAGTTCCGCTGACACAGGAGGGCAAGAGGTATGAATGAATGAGTAGTGGCATATACCAAGTCTGCAGTAAAGATGACAGGAAGTTGAGAGAATACCAATGTTGTGTAATTGCCTCTAATTATTTCTATAGAGTAGAGAGAGTTGAATTTTGTAAGGTTTGTTCTTAGGATACCTGAGAGTGCTTAGTTTTAGGGAATAGTTGTGAAATTCTACTAGGAACATAATGTTCAATAACCACTTGTTTTTTAAAACAGTTGAGTTTGGAGAACACTGGCAAATCTGAGCTGTCAATCTAATAACTCTAAGACAGTAAACATACTCTTTAAAATTGGGCTTTTTTCTATTTGTCAAAGGGCATACATAGTCTTTTGCAAATCACCCTTTGAGGTAACAACGGATCACAGCTTGCCTCTGTAATCTTTACTTAGCTGTTAACTTTGCCCGGTTCTTTGTAGAATAGACATTGAATGCATGTAAAAGAAACCATGAAATCTCACAAGCTACCTGGCAGGTTTAGGAGTACCAGGGAGACTGGCAGTTCTGTTACCACCTGAAACCAACAGAATTGACTATGCTTCAGATTATGTAAGACAGAAGAGTCACAAAATGATAATGGAGATGTGAACATCAGGGAATATGCTAAGGACTGTTCTTTGTATGCATGTGTGTTCCTGACAGTTGTACAGACCAGCCTGAAGCACACCTGCTTGCACTGCCTGTCCTGCTGCACCACATAGCAGCCACTGGGAGGCTCCATTGACCACCAGTTTTATCTTCAGCATGTGCCACAAAAGATACAAATGTGCTCAGTATTACCAGGGATTTACATGTCCAAGTATTTTGAAAATCACCATATAACGACCAGCCAGGTGTGAAACTATACATGGGAGGCACTCCGGTATTTATTGAACAGCTTGAATCTACACTGGACCTGTGTATGCTGGTCTTTACAAGTGGAAAGGTAATAACATAGTGCATTCCTTCAGGATGACCTTTGCTAAGGTGTACATTCATTCCTGACTTGGCCTCTGGCATTGGCTGGCCAAGCAGCCTCTGTAGAACCTAAGCATAAAAGGCATGTTACAAAATAGATGAGCCCTGGCCAGTTTGACTCAGTGGTTAGAGTGTCGGCCTGTGGACCAAAGGGTCTCCTGTTCAATTTCCGGTCAAGGGCATGTACCTGGGTTGCAGGTTCGATTCCTGCCCACATGCAGGAGGCAACTAATTGATGTGTCTCTTACATATCTATGTTTCTGTTTCTTTTCTCCCTTCCTCCCTTCCTCCCTCCTTTCCACTCTCTATAAAAGTCAATGTAAAAAATATTCTCCAGTGTGGATTAACAAAAAAAAAAAAAAAGAACAAGATGAAATCTTTGATTCCTATGAGTTCTTATCACAACACTTAAACTGAACTGAAATCAAAGACCAGTGCTTTACTTTTGCAGGTTTACTTGGAGAGGCTTTTAACTTACGCTGAGATCGACATTTGTCCCACTAACTGGAAGAGAATTGTTTTGGGAGCCGTTCTTCTTGCCTCCAAGGTTTGGGATGACCAGGCTGTATGGAATGTGGACTACTGCCAGATCCTCAAGGACATTACCGTTGAGGACATGTGAGTTTGAAAGGTTTTGGTGAACTTTCTAACCATTTTCTAGTACCTCATTTGCCCCCAAAGTTTATATGTTAAGAAATATTTGTAAAGGTTACTTTGTGCAGAGAACTGAAATAGGCATAAAATTACATACTTCTTTCTGTTCATACCTTTGGAATATGAATTCATATTCCTCATCATTAATTAGGTCTTAATGTGTTATTGTTGTAATAATCTGCTTGATAATTATTTCTCTGGTAGGTTTTGACAAACATTTTACAAGCTCGGTTTAGATAACGGTACAGTAAATCTCTTTGCAGCTTTTTAAAGTTATCTACTAGTTCCAGTCCATTTTTAAGGGGCATACATCTGGCTCTTTAAATAAATGTTTGGCCACTGTTAAGGTCTTAGGGCTGCTAGACTACTGAGAGGTTATAGCTTAAACCTGAGTCACACATTGTATATTTGCTTTTACTGGTCTTTCCCTCCTTTTGATCTGAAGTTCTATTGTTAAAGAAATCATGATAGAAAATTAGCTGCATATAAAGGTTTCATCCTTGTGCTCTCCTGCCCTTTTAAGAGGATCACACATGTTTGAAAATAGGTCTGATGAGTTAGGAAGCTCCTACCTCTCAGGCAGTCAGTGAAGCATCACTGGGCATCACCCAGTTCCCATGCCATTGGAGAGTTTTCTGTGGCAATCAGCAACCACAGCAGTGAGTTGTTAGGGGGCGCTGTAGGTAACCATGAGGGTGCTCTTCATAGATGGCTCGCTAAGATGAGAGTAAAACACTAAACTTAACAAAGGCTTTTGATCTGGCTGCAATTGATCGCTGTGAGGGCCCTGAGGTTGGTAGGCAGGATGAGCCAAAGAGGTATTTCCAGCAGACTGGCAAACTGCCCACCTGACTGTGAAGATGTCTTTGTGAGTGGCATTTAGGAAAATGTGAAAGAACACCTCTTTATAATATTATAGGAAGAACAAGATTGTAGCAGGCCGTGGCAAGAGTTTGTTTTTGTTTCTTTTGCGCATTACTCTAGATAAGACTCATTCAGAATTACCAGAGTGCATGTTTACAACTGAAGTGAGGAAAACTCCTTACCAAGAGAAGGGACCATTGTCAGTATCTGTCAAAGTGGCTTTTGGTGCAAATGCGCATTTTGATAATAGTGTAAACTGAGTAGTCATGGTGATATTGCTGGTAGTCATCCTAGCAAACAGTGTAACAGCAAATAATGAATTTGAAACAAACAGAAGTACTTTTGGAAGTTGCAGAAACTAAAGTTACTCTGATTGCCACTGTCATGAGTCTTCAAACTGGTTCCTTGAAGGATGGAAAATTTGTAATCATGAACACTAGCCCTGCCATGATGACAGCTGAAATTTTCTCAAAACCTGTAACTAAGCTGACTGGGCTCTGTTTCTAGTTATAACCTCAGAGAATATGCAGGGAAATGTGTGGGTTTCATAGAGGTAAGCCCCAGGGGCAGTGTATGGCTACAGGATGACTAGTAGTAAACAATGCTTTTTGCGTATGAACAGAGAAACACCAAGAGCTGTGTTTATAATAAGCTGCTTTTGTTTATAATCTTTGGAAATTGGAAGACATTATAACAATGTTTCGTATACATCAGTTTCATCCCTCTGCTGTTGACTGCTACTTGTAATGGTCTCATTTTGAGTCTAAATTGAAAAATTGGTATCTTATCAGCTTTTTCTTAAAACTTTCTAATATCCATGTTGAAATATAGTCTTTTCTTTTTAGACTGTATTTCCCTTCAAAAGAATAAGTTAAACTGAGCAGCTGCTATTCAGAAAATTTGCTCTGCCTGTAAATGCTATGCTATTCAGCCATCTAGCCATTGAAAAAACAACAAAAACCCCCCAGAAGATGCATATTCTGTAGGCATAATGCTTTTTTTCCATGATTAAACCTCTATTAATAGACATGTTAATCCTATGAAGTACTGTATTTCTACACAATTAAAATGTATTAGTGGAGAAAATATAAAAGGGATAGTGAAGTGCATTTATTCCTGTACTAAATTAAGTCCCGATTAGCTGATTATCAAAACATTATCTGATTTACATTTCTATAGACTTATGGCCATATGAATAGGAAATTAATTTTAGAATTAGGTTCAGTTGGGTTAAAAGTTCAGCAAATGAGAAAACCTCATCTCTGCTCATATTCTGACTGCCCTCCATACAGGAGAATATCAAGCCTTTGTTGACCTATCCAGTGGATAAAATATTAAAGCTTTAAAACTAAAAAACCAAATATGTTAGAAAATAAGCCTCTCTAAACCAGTCAAAGGATTACTGTGAAAGTAGTATGATTTACTCTTAATTTTTATTTTTTAAAATATGTTTTTATTGATTTTTTAGAGAGAGAGAGATAGAAACATCTATCAGCTGCTTCCTGCATGCCCCCAACTGGGGATCAAGCCTGCAACCTGGCATGTGTCCTGACCTGGAATTGAACCGGGACCCCTCAGTCCATAGGACGATGCTCAATCCACTGAGCCACACTGGCCAGGCAATTTACTGATTTTATATTTAAACACTTGGCAGGTGACGGCAGTGTGGTCACAGAGCACAGGACTACTCCCAACTTTTCTTTCCCACTTGATTGAACTCATCCCCTGTGGCTATATTCCCATTCTGTCTGGCAAGGGGTGGTAGATGCTGAGCATCTTGGGACTGCATTCCCAGCATGGGAGAAACACAGTTTGGAGTTGGAGTCTAGTGCTCTATCAGAGGTCATATCATAAAGTGGGTTTAGTCCAGCCTGGACATTGATCTGTAATCTTTCTGCCTTCCGGTTTAAAAAGTGTGTCTTGTCCTGTCATAGTGACAGTTTCTCATCCCATAAAATGAAGGTGAACAGAAATTTGCATTATGCCCTCTGACATTAGCTCCACATACTGGGCAGGGGGTGGGGTGCTCTTTCCTATCGCCTGTGTCTTATTTATTTATTTTTTTATTTATTTGAGATGAATCCTTGCTGCTTCAAGAGTTTTCCCCCTCAGGGATAATAGCAGTGGCTCTCGATGCATCCATTTGTTGCCGTGGTGATGTGCCCACTCCTTTTGTTGGCGCGTCTCTACTTCAATAAGTCCCTTCCTGTTATCGGCCTGGTGAAAATGTCTGCAAGTTCTTCAGAGCTAATAAACAGCACACATCATTCCTTTCATCTGAACACTATAGTGGGGCCTTGTGAGTGAGCGAGGAGCAGGAATCTACAGCTGCACTAATGGAACTCTGAAGAATGATCCCCGAGTCAGCACCATGAGTGCACAGAGGGCCACAACCTCTTCCCCCTTGTCCCAAACTCAGAGTGCTGGGGTACAGAAAGGGCCACAAATAGCTGTACCTTGTTTGAACATTAGAGTATTAATATAGCTGAGTGGCCTTTATTTGTTTCAAAACAAAATTTAGAGCCATCCTAGTAGCTCAATGATATTTTTGAAGATAGCCCAGTAGACTAAAATTGTCCTGTGTTGGTTTTGTCTCCTCTTCCCCAGGAATGAGATGGAAAGGCATTTTTTGGAGCTACTTCAGTTTAATATTAATGTTCCTGCCAGTGTTTATGCCAAATACTATTTTGACCTTCGATCCTTAGCCGATGACAACGACCTGCCTTTTGTATATGCTCCTCTTAGCAGAGAAAGAGCACAGAACCTAGAGGTAAGACTGTGGTATCACTAAGTGGGGTTTCGGTCAGTCACCAAAGCCAACATCTGTGGATAAATCATATTAAGCAGTGGTTAGGACAATGAAAAGCCTTTTTAAATTAGCACATTGGCCTTGGGCTGTTTTTCTCAGAGGTTAGAGCTTTGGCCTGAGGACCGAAGGGTTTGGGGTTTAATTCCCGGTCAAGAGCATGTACCAGGGTTGTAGGTTTGATCCTCGGCCCCAGTGGGTGTCGTGTGGGAGGTAACCAATCAATGTGTCTCTCACATCAATGTTTCTCTCTCCTTCTTTCCCTTCCATTCTATCTAGAAAGCAATGGAAAAATATCCTTGAGTGTAGACTTAAAAAAAAAAAAATTAGCCCATTGAAGAAAAGCTTATTAATCCTTTTGCATCATATGTCTAGTGTCTTTTATGGTTTCTACAAGAACCCCACATTTGAAAAAAATGATAGATCTCCCATAATCAGAATGTTGTAAATCAAATTTAATCTGTTCATGGTTTTCCATTTGAACCTCTACCCTTCCTTATAACCATACATGAATCATTTGTTACAACTGTATCACTAATCATCATATATACATGTATAATCTACTTACCAGTCTTTTTTTTTTTTAATCCTTACCTGAAGATATTTTTCCATTGATTTTTTTTTTTTTTTCAGATAGACTGGGAGGGCTGGAGGGAGGGAGAGAGGGAAGGGAGGGAGGGAGGGAGGGAGGGAAGGAGGGAAGGAGGGAAGATCAATTGGTTGCCACCCACAAGGCCCTGGTCAGGGATCAAACCCAAGACTCTTCAGCCTGTGGGCCGACACTCTAACCGCTAAGCCAAACAGGCCAGGGCTCTACTTACCACTTTTAATTCAGTTTGCAAATTCATGTTTTTTCTATATATAGGGTATCTCCCTAAAAATGTATACACAACTTTGAATAATTATAAAGCCAGTGTTTATTAAAATACATTTCATTTTCAAAATGTAATAGAATCTACAAACACCCTTTATACATGTTTTTGGGACACCCTGTATATCAAGGTTCAGTCCCATGAGTTTATTAGACAAAGTATTAGTGGCTAACCTGAGAGACATAAACTTAGAATGTATGATGTGTGCTCAAATGCTGGGTGTAAAAAGTACATGGGTTTTTGATGGAAATAGTAGAGTACATGGGACAAAGTAATATTTGTGGCTTATGATTTGGAGAGTATACAACAAAATTATTCACAACTGAAATGGACACTTTTAAAATGGACATTTTTAAAGTACCTTGGTGGTACTTTAGAATAAGATGTTTTCTACCATAATTAATGTGCGAGTGAAATAGTCTCTTATGGCACTTCAATCATTAGTCCTTTTATACCTTTCAATAAAGTACAGCACATGCCTGCCTCAAAGTTTGCTTAGAGTATATAATAACTAATGAAGACTGGGTAGAGTTTGAGTAGCTGAGTAAACAACAATTTTGTATGTTCATTATTATGTTTAAGGAACCAAGAGTACAGGCAACAGATGATACAACTGTTAGGAGCATTACGTCCTTGAGAACCCAGTTTTAAAATAATTCTAAGTTCCCCTTTGCTCTGGCAATCTAATCATAGCCCCTAAAGGGCTTACCTTAGTGAATTAGCAGGAATTAGAATCCCCAGAACCTGGCAGTGTAGATCTCAGCTATACAAAGCTACAATAACTGTGAACTATATAAAGGAATATGAATGTGTGGCTTATCAATGACGCTTTTTATAAAGGTTGGAACCTTTGTTTTTCTAACTGTACCTGTGTTCTATTTGATTGCCTTTCTTAGGCCATTTCCAGATTATGTGAAGACAAGGACCTGTGCCGAGCTGCTCTGAGAAGGTCACTCAGCGCTGATAATTTTATTGGTATTCAGCGTTCTAAAGCCATCCTCTCTTAAGGGAGAAATGAGGGATTGTAATATCGTGAGCCCCTCATCTACAAGGACTGGAGAAACATCATCTCTCCTGCTCAAGAACCAGCAAAGTTAGTATTGTCACCTAAAAGACAGACATCAAATTGAAGAGACTCGTGGACAGCAAGGACTATGCTCATAGGAAAGAATGGGACCTTGTCATTGCAACATACTCTTTGTCCTTTACTAGACAGAGTTACAAAAACCACTCCAAAGCAAAAGCCCCAACCCACACACAGATATTTGCTTACAAAGTAGGCTGGTATCTGTGAGCTGTGTGAGGTTTTTAAATTGAAGTTTTAATTTTGAGACTTGAAAGACACTATATAACTTTTATGTCTTTCCTATTTTTCTGAACCACTCCCTCAAAAAAAAACAAAAAAAAAACCCCTCCCCCAGAGAAAAAGACCCCCCCCCCAATATTGCTGCATATTCCTTTACAATCAATGCAGTATTACTGTTAAAATAGAGGACTCCTAACAACTTACAAACCACTTAGGAACAGACTGTAGCATTGTTAGGTATTGAAGAATTCTTCATACTACACCATGGAAGCTGCTAGTCATTATTAGCAATGTTTAAACCAAAAAGCTGCTGAATAACACTTCTGATTCAAATTCTTTGCAAGCACTACTTATTAACATAGTAGCATGTTTGGGATAAGAGAGAGTATCAGTCATTGATAATCTACTTATATTGGGTCCATGTTCTATATTTTAAGAAGTATGATGGGATTAAAACTAATGATGCTTCTCATTTTCTGATGATGTTTCTTTGTTAAATATATCAAAAGATATTTTCATAATTCCAACCACATGGTAGTCCATTAATAAGAAGATAATGAAATAGGTGTTCCCTAAGTGCAATTTTAAGCTTTGATAGAGTGTGTTTGGCCCTCCAGGGCACTCCTGCAGCTGTATAAATGCTACAGACTTACAAAACATCATTTGAAAGTTCAATTAAGTTTCTCATTTAGTTTTGTAAATTGTAAAATGATAAAGATTGGCTAAAACTAGTTTAATATTTAAATCTTCATTTTTGTTTCAGCAAATCTGCCATCTTCAAGAGGGGATTGAAACAAAAAATTAAAACTAAAAGCTTAAGATTTAAGAGACATTTAAACTTTCAAATGTTGGGTAAGCCTGTAGCATTTATACTTCTACATATGCCAAAGCTTAAAATTGCACTAAGATTTTAGTGGGATACCTTGTATGTTCATAGAAATGCCCCCCTCTTAAAAAAAACAGTTTTTTGCAAGGCTGCGTTATATACGTACTTTGATCACCAAAGTTTTTTTTGTTTTTTGTTTTTCTTTTTCCTAGATTTTGGTAAAGGAAGAGTATGAGGAGCAGTGTTAATACACATGTAATAAATGGAAAGGAATTGGACCCTAATAGTAGTGTTATGAAAGCAGGTGAATGAACCAGCTTTTCTATCTTACATGTTGACTTGTTTGTAGGTGTCCCATTTAAGTCTTGCTATTTAAGAGGAAATGTATAAATCTTAGGAACCCTTACCTCAGGCTTTAAAGGGCAGGGAGTTAAGTAATCAATCTTTTAGGAGGTTGGTAAAATGTCACCTAAACTTGAAATACTTTTAAAGATTAATGTTCTCAACTATTTGAAATCTTGCTCCTACCTTCTCAAATGTATTCCTAGAAATTTTGCCTATGAACAAAAGCATTTCTGGGCCAAGGAATACTTTCACTATATAGCAAGGCTTCACATTATATTGAGTGCTGCTGGTTCCATCATTTTAAAAGGACAGAAACAAAAGAATAATGGTATATAAAATATTACAATCTACCACCTCAAAAAAATATTGTTTATGGAGTTCAGAGCTTGGAGATTAAAGTATTGATTGCAGTTTTATTTTGAAAAGAATGCTACAACTTACGTGGTTTTTCTTCCTCATGTTTATATTAAAAGCTAATAAACCCTATTTTAATTAAAACATGGCTAGTATGTTTGTAACACTTTTCCCTATTCACATAGCATTATGTCTCTGCCTAACTGACATGTTTTCAATCAGTTCTGATAGTGAGGTCTTAAAGCATTTATGTATGTATGTATGTTAATCTCACCCGAGGGTATTTTTCCATGAATACTTAGAGTGGGAGGGAGGGAGGGAAGGAGAGAGGGAAACATCCATGTGAGAGAGCGACATTGATTGGTTACCTCTTGCACAACCCTGACCAGGGCTGGGGATCAAACCTGCAACCCAGGTATGTGCTCTTGCCCATGAATCAAACCCATGACCCTTCAGTCCTTGGACCAACGCTCTAGCCACTGAGCCATTCTGGCCGGGGCTTAAAGCATTTTTAAACTCACCATAAGTTGGATTGACCCTTACCTCTAAGACATAGTTATTTATGTGTCTTAGGCTGTTTTCAACCTAAAGATAATTTATCCCACTTAAAATTATTAGTCACAGTACTCATTGGCATGGTGCATTAGATAGCATCTTTGAATAGTTCATTATTGTGTCAAGAGGGAAAAGCACATTGGAAGGTAAAACATACCAGAGAGAAAGAAACCAAGAAAACTGTAGGTGAGAATGTGAGTGATTTGAGAATTTCAAGCAGTTAAAACGGGTCAGAAAATGGAATAACAGGAACTACAATTGTGTTGCTGTAAGGAGAGTGACTTTAAACAAGCCACATAATTTGACTTTAGCCTTGTCTGGATGGCTCAGTTGATTAGAGCACCATCCCATACACCAAAACATTGCAGCTTCGATTCCTGCTCAGGGCACATACCTAGGTTGTGTCCCCGGTTGGGCCAGTATGGGAGGCAAGTTTGACTTTAAAATGCTATTTTCAGACTTACATTTCAGAAATATACCAAATTCTCTAAGATTTCTTTGTAACTAGGACCTTAGCCACTCAACTTGAGTGATACTTAGTAAATCCTGATAGTTTTGCTATATTTTCATGTACCTTATTTCATTTCCTAAGGTCAAATCACTTGTTCTAAATAAACTGATGATTAGGATTAATGATCGAATTTAGTTTAGAAGGACAAAGAATACACTGTAAGATAGTTTGCACCCCACGGTAATATGCTAGCTACTAAGCAGAAATGCTGACATATATGAGTGGTCAAAAGCTAAAAAATGTTTGGAGAAGGGACATTGGACATGACTCTGGTTTCAAGAACAAATAGGTGGGCCCTGGCCAGTTTGGCTCAGCAGTTAGAGCATTGGCTTGCAGACCAAATGGTCATGGATTCGATTCCTGGTCAAGGGCATGTACCTGGGTTGCAGGTTCTGTTGGCTTTTGCAGGAGGCAACCAATCAGTGTCTCTCTCTCACATCGATGTTTCTATCTAAAAATCAATGGGAAAATGTCATTGGGTGAAGGTTAACAAACAAAAAATAGAACAAGTTGGTGGAATAACTAGAATTACTAAAAATTGCTCTTTCCCCTTATGCTTTAATTCTAGAAGGCAGTACAGCCATTTTGCTAAATGGGAAATGTAGTCAACTTAGGGTAAGAATGTAAGCATCACTGAAAGGGAATAGGTTCTCTGACAAATGTTATGGGGCATGGAAAAACTAGTTACTAATAGGGTGATAACTGGCAGTTTTCTCAGTTTATACCTGGGAAGGGTTTGCTCCCTAAAGTAACAGGATTTTAAAAGAATATCTGACTACCCTAACTCAAATTTATTTTCATTCATTCTTAGTATTTTTTCCTATTAGAATACTGACCTCAGTGAAATTTTAACTCTGGTATATTGTGAACTGAACTTTTAAGACTTCATTACAAGGAAAAGACAGAGGTCTGCAATATTTTTGAACCAAATAAAATTGCCATTTTTGTATGTAAAAAATGATTTTCTATCAGCAATTTTATGTGGTTCATCCTAAATTTAAGGCCCAATATTTCTGGTTAAAGAGAAATTTCTTCCATGCTGTGCCAGATTCCAGCACGGCCCTTCCTTTCATATTTACTCTTATGTCCCATATGCCCACACATCATGAAATCCAGCAGCACTGGTTTTATAACAGCTCATGGTTCATTTTTTGGTTTAGTTTTTCCTGTCTATAAATACACTATTCCCTGATTTAAAAAAAAAAAAAAAAAAAAAAGGCTAAAGCCAGTATTTACCAGGAAAGAATTTCACTCTATTCAGGTTTTGCCATGTTTTTGGAAATGTTTAGCTATGGCATATGTAGGTTAGCTAAAATCTCATCACCCTGGCCTTCTCCCTGACCATATCTAAAACGACTAGCCTGTTCCCTCACCCAGAAGCTGCATTCTCCAGTACAGAGCACTCGGAAAAGCTCTTGACAGCTGGCAGAAAATCTCCAGGTAAGTGTTTGTTTCAGTGTAGAATCTGCAGATTATACCCAGCACCTATCAACGAGTTAAGGATTAGATTACCTCAAGTCTTCACTCAGCCACTTACCGACCTGGTCAGCCTGACACTGCCAGTAAGCAATACAAAACATCTTGGAGCCCTTCAGCAAAGCCGCTTCCCCCAGAGCACAGGCGCAATCTGGTTTCTGAGGCAATTTTCACTCAACTATTTTAAATAGGTTTGCCAGATGAGACACCACGTAATGTGAAATAAGTTCTAAGAATACCAGTTTGTGGTTTAGCATCCCTAGGGTGCAGAAAGAACTAGGAAAGTGAAATAGTTTAGAAATTAAGAGGAATCCAGAGTCAAAAAAAGGTTAATAATCTTAAAAAGGAACAAGTTAGGTGATTGTTGTATATGCTGTGAAGGGAGTTAAGTAATTTGAGTGATTAGAGAAATTCTGTGTTAACATCAGAAGTTATCAATAGTATTTACTTCAAGACCTCAAATGATTCTGCTAGTGTTTTCTTGAAACGTCTATTACTTTATCTTAACTCTTCTCAATTCTACTAACCTTTACTTTTAGACCCCCAAACGGTAGCCCCCTTTACCTCCTCCCTGGAACGACCTCCTTTGAAGGCAGTGCCTCGGTGTTCTGTCCCCTCCCACTGCCCTGAGGGCTCTCCCTCAACCAGATCGTCGTGGGAGCCCTCACCCTGTGACAACCTGCTAATGTCCACTGGGCAGCATTTGATGTTGGTTACTACTATGAACCACTTCCAAAGCATTATCCCCAGGTTCCAGGAAATACAAGTTTCATATGGCTCACAGGTTAACTAGCTCCTTGTAATCCCCTTTAATCCCCTATGTATCTACTCAGTTTAGGCAGCATCCCCACATTCCAAACTCCAAAACTCATTTCATCTGGCATTAGGAATAGATGTCTCACTTCTTTTTTTTTTTTTATCCTCACCCGAGGACATTTCTGGATATTTTGTTCAGATAGAGTGGGAGAGAGAGAGAGAGAAACATCGATGTGAAAGGGACACGTCGAGTAGTTGCCACCCGTACAACCGAACCAGGGCCAGGGACAAACTGCAACTGAGGTATATGCCCTTAGCGGGAACCGAACCCAGGTCTCTCGGGACCGCAGGCCGACGCTCTAACCGCTGAGCCAAACCAGCCAGGGCTATGTCTCACTTCTTAAGGTAACCTCATCTAACCAAGGGGATTCCATCCCAATTCTAAAATCAACTACCTAATCCACACCCTGCACCGATTTATCCCCTTCTGCCTCAAAGCTGCATACATCTCTCCAATGTTGGGATGGAGCAGTTTGACTTTGCTTAGTCCTTTACAGATTAGTGTTTCTCAAGATGTCCCCAGACCACCTCTCATCAGCTGCAAGTGCCTATGAAAAAGTTTCTCTAAATGGAATACTGAATCCTGGATTGGATCCTGGAACAGATAAAGAACAGTGGTGGACATTCTGGTGAAATCCAAATGAAGTCTGGAGTTAATGGTAATGAACCATGTTGACTTGTTAGCTTTGACAAATGTGCTATACTATGTTAACATAAGGGAAAAAATGGTTATGGAAGGGGTATACAGAAACTAAATTATCTCTGTAACTCTGTAACCTAAAAAAAAAAAAAAAAACAGCAAGCAGCAGTTTCTTGGGCCCCAGACCCAGACCCAGACCCAGACTCTCAATTCTTGGAGCCTGAAGCCTGAAGCCTAGGAATCTACATTTTCAATGGCCACAAATGATTCTTACGCAATCTCGCCTCAACAGCTGCTGCCTCCTTGCTTTACCTTGACCGTGCCTTGCTTGCCTTGGCCTGATTTAATCCTTTGGATCCTCTGAATCCTAAGATATGAATAGTATTATTATCCCCCTTTCACAGATGAGAAAACTGAAATAATAACAGGTTAAGAAAATATGTCCAGGATCACAGAGCCCTTAAATAGTGGAGCTGGGATTAGAATCCCTAGTTAGTCTAGCTCCCAAGTCTATTAACATAACCATGCTACTGCTGCTCGTTCATGTTTCCATCCATGACAAACTAAAGAGCTCTGTAATTAAATCACTAAAGGAAACATTATTACCAATAATACTCTGGGCCCACCAGTTTCTCCAGTCATTTTAAATCCCAACCATCTCTTTACTCCAGCTTGTGACTTTGCCAACTAGAGTCCTGTACAGGTAAAGTGCAGATGCTCTTCCGTCAGGATTCAGCTCAACTATTCTCTCTTCTCCCAATTGCCCTAACTTATGAACCAATCTAATCATGTTCCCAGCACTCACTCTGACATTGAATTATACACTCTCATATTGAATTTGCTTTGTCTTCCCCAAGCAATATTTTAGGCTCCTAATTACTATCTTCTCCCACACTTATGCCTCAGAGCATTACTGGGGAATAGACATACCAGGCATTCACATGAGGTGGTTGTTGGTAGAATGGCTAGGTAATCTGTATCTTGCCAAAACAGCAGCCAGTAGCCAAGTACTCTGTCAATAGTACCTCAGGTTTACTAAGCATCTGTCCAGATTATCGGGGAGGTGCCAACTCTAAATCAATTTATAGTCTTATCTGGGTTCTGACTTGTATTTATGGCTTAATAATAAGGTGTGAGTCTAACTGATGAATGATGATTAGTTTGGGGAGTTCCTGCTCCCCAACCAGACACACAGAACAACAGCACCAACATCTATCCCAATAGGTTTGGTATGGAGCAGCAATTTTCAACTGGTGTGCCATACGAATTTTTAAAACATTCAACACCCGACTATTTAATCAGGATCACTGACCTCGTTTCCTTTATACTGTCAAAAAAATGACAACAGCTAGCACTATAGTTGTCTGGTGTGAATACCCTGTCTTGAATCATAAATATTTAAATCACATAATAGAGTTGCATTTTATTGGTCACATTGGATAACAAGGTCGCATCTGATTGGTTAATTCTTGGTACCAGGAATCCTTACATGCAAGTCTAGGCACCTGATTTTTAAAAAGGTCACTTTGGAGCAAAAATGGTGGGTAATTACTATAATTATTGTTTGGTATATCAATCAGTTATACCTATTTTATTATTGTTTTGGTATATCAATCAGTTATACCTATTTTTTCTTGTCAGATTGGCAAAAAATATGGTTTTTGGTGTGCCACAGAATTTATTAATTTATGTGTGCCATGAGATAAAAAGAGTTGAGAATCGCTGGCATACAGTATAGACGGAGGCTTGATAAAACTCAACAGTCTTAGGCAGTGTCTCTCTTCTTACATGTGTTTCCTTTCATTTCTTCAAGTGAATCATGAAACAGTAACAGGATCAGCAAGAGAAACCTATGAAGTATATTCAAGTAAAACAAGTATTCATTAGTTCTGTTTCTGGTGACTGGAATTTGCTTGATTTTCTTATTAATAAAGCATTACCATTTATATTTTAAGTACATCTGAGAAATCTGATTATGAAGTTAGAATCCACATGTCTCCTCAGATACTCTTAAAAGTGGTGTGTCTCCATAAAAGCACAAGGAGAAAAAGACTTGTACAGCATCTTATTTTCTATACCATTGCTTTAATGCACTTTAAATTTTATCTACATTAGTTGGGAACAAAGAAACAAAAATAGACATTTCTTTGTTTTTCATAAATAACTACTCTCCATATTTGATAAAAATCTCAAAGCATTATTTTACCTTCCCACAAATAAAATACATACAAAATTTTTCTGAAATAATAAGTTCAGCAAATTATCATGAGACTAACATAACCACATACACAGCTGTTCTACTGACTTCCAGGAACAAAACAAAACTTCTCAAGATGCTCTGGGTTTCCACTTGTTAACATTATGGATTCAGAATTATAATCATCTGCCAGTAATAACTTATAGATTCAAGTTGATTGTCTACAAATAAAATATCGCTGGCTCCGATTCATTGAGTTCTGGGGATATCTTCAGGAAGCTACTGCATGGGATAGGCACTATACATGTATGGAAATCATAAAAAGTATTAAATGCCCTGGACTCGAACTACTGACTCGGTATGTGCCTCATTTGGCTCAGTAATAAATTCACCTGCACCAAACCCGTATCAAAAGTCACTAAATCTCTCATATATATATATATAATATATATTATGTATATACACACCCACATCACATACATACTATACATACAGTTTGTAACAACATGAAGTAATATTGTCATAAAATGATGTACCACAGACATTATCCTGGCTGAAATCAATTCTGTAATTGTCATCAGGCTGCTAGAAGCTTTGTAAGTTCTGAGTTAGGTTACTTAGCGACTTACATCCTGAATACCCCTCACCCTGCTTTAATGTCTTGGTAGCTTTTCCTTTCAGAACCACCCTCCCTAACTCAGGCTTATTTCTTTCCCAAGATCACTTGATTGGACTTAGGAGGCAAGAAAGGACATGCAGAGGGAGCAGGCAAATCTCAGCCACTCTACCTCACACCTGCCTAGATTTGTGATGTGCTCTGTCCTGTTTGCCACATTCGGTGTTAGAAAGCCGTCATTCAAAGCTTTGTCCCTTCTACCCCCCTTGGTTTTTCTGTAGAGCACAAAAGTGAAAGAAGCCTCTTTAGCAGGGGTAGCAGTTCATTAAAATATACAACTACATTTCCTAGCTCTGGGGGTCCCATTCTGTACTTGACAGTGCAGGTCACGGATGCTGTTATTAAGGTTCGGTGTGGGATCCATGAGGTTTTCTCCTGGCAGCCGGTGTCAGGATTAGTGCAGCCCTGGCCCAGGAGGAAACGGCCTAATGAATACCAGTTTGGTAACAGTGCTGTCGGCACATTATTTAAGCTTGTACATGCGCACAATTACACACAACACACACACACACAGGCCCATCATTAAAAGTGGTCAGGTGAAAATGACAAAGGTTTGCAAGGATAAACCAATAAGGCACCAAGAAAAATTATTTTCAGCCAATTTAGACAACTTCAGAATGTGAGGAGGGAAATAATATAAATAAAAAGCACTTCCTAAGGTCATGGTAACTGATTCACTGAGAGGTCGATCACTTTGATTCCTTTAGACAACCTTCTAAATCTTCACCCCCTAATCTATGAAATAAGACTGCTTAAAATTGAACTGTGAAAGGAACAGCCCCAAAGCTGCACATGTGAGACTAAGTGGAGCCCCAAATCACCTCCAACTTCACAAAGCTGGCTGTGAATAAGTTGCTAAACCACCCCACTACCTTTCAGTTTCATCATTGTTTTCATGAGTGTAATTTGTTTGCATAATAAAATTGCAAATGGGAGGAACAGTGTGTGGGATGACCAAAGTTAGCTCTCACTTCACTTCTCTCCCTGGGTAAGGGGTGGGGTGGTGGATATTAGAGAGACTTCAGGAAAGCAGGTGGGCTTTATCCTGGAGGGAAAGGAGAGCAAGGGTGAAAAGAGACCGAAAACAAAAAGGTAGCTCTGAAAGTAGACCCCAAAAAACATCACCTGTGTTGCCTCTCCTTGGCCTGGTATCCTTTGTGTGTGTGTTTTAAAGTAAACTGGTTGTTTTTAGGTGTGGCATGTTGCCAAAGTGAAAATATAATTTTCTACAATGAAGAATTAAATTATTTTCATCTACTCATCCCACAAGTTTTAGATACATTGTGCACCATTTCTAGATTCCTCCAAAAAAAAAAAGATGGAAGGGACCATCCAAATTAGGCACAGTGACTGAAGGCAGCAGAACCCATCTATGCACTTTCTGGGAAGATACACTAAATGAGGGAAGAGGTGAAGGTAATCATAAAAGATCCTCATTTGAAAAATAGAGGAACTGGCCTTCAAGGTTCTAAGAGACTCTTCTGAATAAGTAGAGGATAAGATGTGCAAAAAATTCTCTAGGCTGTGTGTACTAGGTTTTGTCAAACCCACTGAAATTTTAATTGATTCAGAGAATGAGTATGGTGTAAGAGCAGTGCATTTTTATAACTGAACAGCTTTTGAGAGTCCTTAAATCTATAATACCAGGCTTCCCACACCCCCGGCAGTGTTTAAATTCTCCGTGGGAACTATTCACTTGTTTACTTAATATACATGAAGTAAAAAATTGAACTGGGCTTCTATCTTACTTTTCTAACTTTGGTATAAATGAAGCACAAATTCCCTAGACTTGTTTCCCTAGGGAGGCATTCTCAAATTTTAATTGCTTTTGCCATTTTAGCTTCCTAAATTTAGTCCCCATTCAACCCTGGTCATTGGTATTTTGCTGGCCAATGCACCGTCACCCTCTTCCCCAGTCATGGCCTCACACTCTTCATGAATGAATGATTAAACAGATTAGGAAAGCAAACAGAATTTTCTAATAGCAAAGAAATGTGAGTCAGTGAGTGTGTGTGTGTATTCATCATATAGGCTTTCATATATGAATGGTTAATTAGGTTAGGAAAGCACAGAATCCATTCACAATAAAGTGTGTGTATGTGTATGTGCTCATCAATATATAGGTTTTCTCAGAAAAGGGAGGAAAGAAATGTACTGAGGTGTGGGAGGGGGAAAACAACTTTCTTCCTGCTATAGTAGTACACCAATCTGTGTTTTAAAAACCAATGCAAGTTTGTTATGGGCCTCATTTGTTTTAAGAGTCTGCAGAGAGCAAAGTTTTGCTGCTTTTGGAATATCTGGCTATACACTAGTCCAAAGTCCAGGGACACTTATTTTCTCTCATTGCTGCCAATGTTTGTTCACAGGTAGCCAGCTTCCCTCCCCCAGTTCAAGCACCTCTTTGGAGGGTGGGTGTGGTTTCTAATCACAGCTCTCCAGGAGAGGAGGAATAAGAAAAGCAAAAAGACTGTTTAACATGATAAAGGAGGTGGGATGGGGGTGGAGCAAGTAAATGTTGGAAATTTACTTAATTACTGGATGTATATCCATTTTAGTCCTTAAATCTACAAAGCAGCCCCCTTTAGCAACTATCACTGAGTAATTCCAGAAGAAAAGAGTGGGTTTACTTTTACCAAAATTATGACACAAGTTGTTTTGTAAAAATATTGGGATCACTGAAGCTTATTAAGAACCACCCACTCCTCTGGCACAGAGCTGCCATTTTATCAGTCTAGAATTCCAGCTCAACCGATTTCTGTCCCTTAGGTCTTCACTTCTCCCACTATTAATCCCAGGTACTATAATGCTACCTCTAGTCAAAGAGCTGGCGCTGTTAATAATGAGAATGATTACAAGTACTGCCGAAAAGAAACCAAAGTTAACTAAACAAAGCTAGAATGAACACAGAATCGCTAAACTCCCTAACCTTGTCACTTTGGGGAGGCCCTAACCACATTATGCCGTCCTTGGTATGACCTGGAGTTTCATAAACGGGGACAAGCAGCTCATCTTAAAACATCCTGGTCACTTTAAGCAGTGGAAGGAGAAACACGCTGAAAAAGCACACCTGTCAACTTCTCAGTCATAGTTACCCAAACTTTCACTGTTCACATTTTTTTAAAGACACAAATATAGTAAATATATTTTTCCAATTCAGTTCACACAACGAAAACTGAACCAAGTGGAACTTCATTATAATGCCAACGTTATGATTGTAAAGGCCCCAAAGCAAAGGTAAATTTTGTTGCCAAAATGCAACAAAGTTAAAAATTAAGAAAAATACATATTAAATTAAAAACAGGGTTCCCTTAAAGAAGGCAGTAAGAAACACGAAACAGAATACATGTGAGCTGAGCCCCTCTGAGAAGTCCTGGGACAGCTATTCCCTTGAAAGGGCCCTTTTCCCCCTCTCTCCAACTCGCCCCAGGAGGGGGCATCAGCACCAGGAAGGTAAACGGAAGTGACCTTGGCAAAGCTTCCAAACAAAACGCCCCTCTCCCTCACTCCAGGCTGCGGCCTCCTACACATGGGACAGGGACACCTGCTTGTGGTAGGCGGCTGCGGCGGGGCCCGGGGGCCCGGTCCTGCCCGTGAGCGCCGAGCTCGCCTCGGCGTAGTCCCGGGCGGCTGTGGCACCGCCGCTTTTGTGGCCCCGTCGCGGGCGGCGGCAGCAGCAGCGACTGGTGAATCGCCGCCACGACTCTACAGTCTTGCTGGACCAAATCCAGACGCCGGAGGTGATGCCCACGACGAGGCACATGAAGTACTTGAGCATGAGTACCCAGTACTCAGGCTTGGCGCGTGGCTGGCCGGTGTCCGGTCCTGGGCACGCGCAGGTGAGTGCAGCCTCCCAGCTCTCGCGATAGTGCTGCTCATACAGGTAGCAGGCCACCACAATGCTGGCGGGCACTGTGTAGAGCAGTGTGAAAATGCCAATTCTGATCATGAGCTTCTCCAGCTTGTCTGTCTTGGTGCCACCTTGTTTGATAACGCTACGGATGCGGAAGAGCGACACGAAGCCTGCCAGGAGGAAGAGCGTGCCCACCAGCAAGTAGAGCACCAGAGGGCCCAGCACAAAGCCACGCAGTGAGTTCAGGTTCTGGTTGCCCACGTAGCAGATGCCAGCCACTGGATCCCCATCCACAGAGCTCAGTGCCAGTGCGGTGATGGACTTGATGCTGGGGATGAGCCACGCGGCCAGGTGGAAATACTGCGCATAGCCCGCGATGGCCTCATTGCCCCACTTCATGCCAGCTGCCAAGAACCAGGTGAGTGACAGGATGACCCACCAGATGGAGCTGGCCATGCCAAAGAAGTAGACCAGCAGGAAGACGACAGTGCAGAGTGCAGGACCTGTCGTCTCGTAGTGAATGTGGCTGTGCTCACGGCTGCAGGCGACACTGGCATGGCCCACAACCAGGCGCACCAGGAAGCCCAAAGACACACACAAGTAACAAGCTGACAGGAAGATGATGGGGCGCTCAGGGTAGCGGAAGCGTTCCATGTCTATCAAGAAGGTGGCCACAGTTGTGGAGGTGGAAATAAAGCACAGCACAGACCACAGGCCGATCCAGAAGGTGGCGAACGTGCGCTCGTCAGGGCTAAAGGAGGGCTGGTAGCAGGGCACCGCGCAGTTGGGTACTTGGCCCGTCCGAACCTTGTTGTAGAGCGGGTGCGACTCCTTCAGGATGGGCACAAAGGGCTCTCGGCACTTGCACACCGAAGGGCCCCCAGCGGCACATTCGCCTCCGGAGGATGGTGCCCCTGGCGGGCCTGGAAGCGTGGGCTTGACCGGGAAGAGCCTAGGGGGCACCGTGGTGGCCTCGCTGTGATTGTAATCCATGCACAGGACCTCGGCGTCGCGCCCCAGCACCGGGAGGCGGTCGCAGCTCATGCGCTCCGGCCAGGCGAAGCCGTACTGGCGCATGAGCGGCGAGCAGCCGGCTTTGGCGCGCTCGCACACCGAACGGCAGGGTGGCAGGGGCTTGTGATAGTCGGGCAGGCAGATGGGTGTGTACATGGAACACAGGAAGAAGAGAAGGTCCGGAGAACAGTGGATCTCCACCAGCGGCCAGAATTGGTGCACCTCCAGGCCCGCCTCGTCCTGCGTGTCGTGGTTGAACTGGTTGGGCATGTGCGTCAGGTTGTAGCCTATGCCGCGGCACATGGGTACCGTGATTTCCTGGCACACCGGGGCCTTAGAGGCGGCCACCGCTCGGCCTGCCAGCTGCGCCAGGAGCAGCAGCAGTAGCGAGGGTGGCGCAGAAGGGTCAGGCCGAGCCATAGCCCCCTCCCTCCCCTCACTTCGCACAGCCCGAATGGGGCCAACGCAGGCAGGGGGAATCGGGACCGGGACTTTGTCCGCCGACTTGTGTGTGGTGTCGGGGCTGGCAACCTGTTGGTTCTTTTAATCTTCAAGAAATCCACCCCAAGATAAACTGTTTTGGGAAAGCGCTGCCTCCCTCCTCGCTTAGCTCTTCACAGGATAGGGTTTGGGAGGGGCAGTTAGGGCTCCGATTCCAGGCAAAGTACTCCTTAAAAAAGAAGAAAAATTGCAACCACTTCCAATTAGAGAGGAGTCAACAGCTCAGTCCCCGCAAGCGGTCTCCAAATCTCTAGATTAAACTCTCCCTTCTTTCCCTTCCATCTCCTGAAAACAAACTGCTGACTCCCCGCCCCACCCCGCCTCCCTTTCCACTGGGTCCTCCAGGCTGGACCCCGGGGTCAGAGAGATCAGCCCCCTCCAGAAAAGGACAGAGGGCCAGGGAGAACGGGGAGAAGCGGGAAGGCGCGGGCTCTCACCTCTGCGAATCCGGAGAGAAGCAGATTTTCCACAGCCAGGCTGGTTCATCTGTTCCTGGGACACTCCACTCAGAAACGTGATTCAGAGCCAAGCTGGCACCTGGAAAGTTTGGCGATAGGCTGGGTATACGAGGAGGCGGCACATGGCAGCAGGTGGGGACGCCTCAGAGAGGGGGTCGCCCCCTGAACGCGATCGCTGCAGGCCCGTCACTCGCCCTCTCCTCCGGGGCCCCCCGCATGATCCGGGCGGGGCAGGGCAGGGGCAGGCCGTGCGTTCCAACGGGGTCCCGAAGCCGCACTAAGGGCGAACGCTCCAGCAGCACCTAGGCGAGAGGAAGGCGGTGTGTGGCGGCCGGGAAAACCCGCCGCCTCACGGCACCGCGAACAGCCGGCGCTGGCCCCGCCAGGACTGCATGGTGCGCGCCCGCCGCCGCGTCCCGCCCGCTGCTCGCCTCCTCCCCTGCAGGGGGCTCCTTGCTCCAGCCGACTCCTGGGGGCGGTGGCGGCGCTCCTGCGACGCGCCCGGCTCGGCTCCTCCTCCGTGCTCTCGCACCCTTTCGCCCACCTCTGGCTGGCACAGAACAGCGCGCGGCGGCGGCGGCGACTGTGGCGGAGGAGTCACGGTCGCTGGCTGACTAGCCTCTCCCACTCCGCCGGGTCACCTGCTTCTAATGCCCGCCAGGAGGCCCCGCCCCGGCCCCGCCCCCTCGAGCTAGGGCTCGGTTGGTGGGCTGCCCCGCCAAGCTCTCCGCGCGTCCCCGCCCACTGTTCCGCGAGCTTGGCCTCTCCTCCCGCGCCCTGCGGCTCCTCCCTGAGCGGGCCACCGAGTAACGCGGCCCAATCACGGGCCGGGAAGCGGCGGGGGGCGGAGCGAATGCTAATCACGCCTTCTTGAGACCCGGGGCGGGAAACCCCAGCTAGAAGTTCCAAGGAGTTCTCTGCTGGCTGCCACGGGTGCGCCGCTCACTTTCCTGTAATGTTCTGGCTCAGGAACCTTTGCTCCCAGCGCCCCTACCACTTCTTTCTGCAACTGAACATTTTTACCAAGTCAAGCGCTTGTTTAAAAGGACCGCTCAAAGAATCATTCTTAACCGTGGCACCTGTCTCCCTTCTGTGCTGTACTATACCAGGTGAGCTCACATCGAGAGAAGAGTGAATGCTTACTGAGCCCCTACTGTGTGCCGGACAGCGCGTTAATCGTCACATCTGAATACAGGGGCTCAGATCCTTGCAACAATTCTATGAGGCAGGTATTCCTTATAGGTGAAGAAATAGAGGTTTAGAAAGTTAACCAAGGTATCCGAGCTCATGAGAGTTCCCCAAGAAAACCCCAACCTAGACAATCTTGTACCCTGCAGTATTCCTAGAGCCTGGCACAGGGTAGGCGCTCAAATGGCAAACTCGGAATTGAACTCAAGTTGTTGGACTGTGGCATCCACAATTTTAACCACTCCCCCTATGTACAATAGGTATCTCCAAGGCTTCAACCTTTACTCTTGCATTTCGTAACAAAACCTTATGGTGTGACAAGAGAGATTTTTTTTCTGTCTTTGTAGGACTCCAGAGATGTTAATCCTTTATTAGTCGAGGTTTAAAATCCTAGGCGGTTCCCCGCAGAGAGAAGCAACGCTGGCTCGGTAATGGGCAGGGCGCTGGGCCCCCTGGGGGCTGCGGGCTGCTTGGCTGCCCGCAGCCACCAAGGGCCGGGGGCGCACCGAGCAGCCGCCGCCCGCGGGAAGACCTGCTGGGCGCCCCAACTGCGGGGACACACAGTGGCGCTCTCCAGATGGGTTTTTATGCTGCAAGTTTTAAATGTCTTAAAAATGCCTCTTTTTCTACGTGTTCTAATTAGGTTGAAAGACGGAGGTGTTTAGCATACTTGAAATTCATTCACACGCTCACAAAGAGGTCTGAATTGTTTCCCACTCCCCCACTTCTTCCTTCTGGGAAGGAGGTGAAGAAAGGCTGGAGGGCCAGGGAACTTGAAGGACTTAGGACTGGACTAAAGGGCTGAGATAGGCCGCGGTTATTGTTCTTGTGTCCTGGATTCCATTTTGTACAGATTGAGAGACTAAATGGCAGAATAACCCTCTCCCTCCCGCTTATCAACAAGGCTTTGTGGGAAATAATGAAGAATATGTGTATTAATCCCAGCCTTAGAGTTAAAAGGAATAAATATCAATAGCTTTGCAAACATCAAAACTATTAATAAATATGTTTTACATGGACATTACATCTTTCATTCCCTGGAATTCTACAGGTGTTCATATTTTATCTCTTTTGTTTTTAGGAAATACTTGGCACTCTGGGTAGGTGGGCAAACTTGCCAGGGTTGAAAGTAGTGGGAGTTGAAAAGCCATGGAATAGCAGTCAAAAAAGAAAGGGAAACCCTCAGTGGAAAGTATGTGCAGACTGTGAACATGCCAGGGGAGGGCTGTCTCATTCTGTACCCTTTATGCAACGTGTGTATTATTGGGGATGGACAAGTGTTGGCTAATAATAAAATTATTTGAAGTTGGAGAATGTTAATCACTCCTGCTGGAATTTAGCCAGAATACTTGTGTTATTTCACATGGTTCTGACTCAAATGATGTTATCTACTGGTTTGTAAACCTCTCTGCTTAATCAATAATAGTGAAATGTTATTTTTGCTTGGAGATCTCTAATAAGAGTAGTAATAACAACAGAAAACTTTGCCAAAAGAGACTTATTTTGCATTGCGTAGCTTTTTGTACCATTTGAATTTTAACACATATTGCTTCAATATAAAGGCAGTTTGAAATATGCTGACTATTTAACATATTAGGCCGGGTGCTAAATAATTCGTTTATCTTAGCTCATTTAATCCTTACAATAATCAGACAAAACTGGCACCATAATGATTTGCCTGAAGTTACTTATTCGGTCATTGGAAAGCACAGAAATCAAAAATTTCTCCTGAGTCATAATTTATTATTCAACAAGCTAGAAAACACTAACTTATTTTTAAGATGCATTTTTTTTAAGCACCCAACACGTTGCCAAACACTGTAGTCTATTAATTTACTCATATGGCCTTCCATCTATCCATCCATCCAAAAAACATCAATTTCTGAGTTGAAGATACTACTGCTATATTAAACATGTTCCTACAAAGCGAAGTTCATGAAATTCAACTTAAATTATTGCTCAAGGTATGTTTATTAATCAAAATACAGAGGTTGATGCTAACTAACCATCCCATCTAGTAAGTGCATGACATTCCAAAAGTTTTGAAGTGTCGGTTTTGGATTCTGTCATCAGGGAATAGTTATAGCATTTTTAATCTTACAAGACTTGTGTTGATCATACATATATTATTCTGTTGAGACACTTGAGAGTTCAATGCTATAGGAATGAATATTTTGTATACTCTTCAATATCTTGATAATCAAGTCTGGAACAGTCTTGATTAGACACCTTCAATAAAACTGAGAAACAAATGGATGAATGATATTAACTTGTTAAACTTTAGCAACTGGCATTGAATCCTTGAGTACAGCTTACCTTATGAGAGCTATATCTGAGGTTGACCATACCTTGTTAAATGCAGCATGAGTCCAAGCCTTGGCTCTGCCTTTAGTAGCTGTGCCACCTTGGGCAAGTCACCTAACAGCTCCAGGTCCTCTTTCCTGGTCCATAAAATGGATTTACAAATAGTTATCTCCCTCATAGAGTTATAATGAGGGGTAAATGAAATTATATAGAAAAGGGCTTAGAGCCTTGTCTAGCACCTAGTAAGTCTACATAGGTCTTAGTTTTTATTATTATTATTATTATTATTATTATTATTTTTACTATGGTTTATTCTATTTTTCTGTTTCCCAATCTTGTATATTTTCTTCTGTATATTACTTTAATAATGAAAAAAAAAATAGTTACAATTTTTAGATATACTTTGTGTCTGAGCACACTCCCAGCTGTCACTAGCTATCTCTAGCATTTAGATACCAGCTACATTTGATGCCAAAGCAGGGATCATTTCACTTACCCTGGATCAAAGTGCACACACCTGATATCAGCAACCAGCCTGAGAGTGTACACAGTGCTGGCACAGGATAGACACCTTTGAGCCAACATGAATCCCTCACAGGTACAGTATTTTCAGACTAGCTCCTTGCATGTCCTAGCATTTCTGATTAGTCTTCATCAAATCAGACACCTGTAGACAAGAAACCAAGACACTAACCAGAAGATTAACATGATGAGTCATTTGTCCAGGTTCTTAATGAGAATGTCTTGTTCACATTAGAAGCAGAATAATTCAACTATAATCTTTAGTCTTCTCCCCTCCCCCACTGTGATGCAGATTATAGAAAATAAAAGCTTCCCCCCCCCCCCCAGAGGTAATAGAAGTACTAATCTTTTCCATATTGAGCAATGGCTCTCAGCCGCACATTACAGTCACCTTGGGAACTTTAAGACACACTGGTGCTTGAGACCTATTAAATCAGAATCTGTGGTTTAGGGCTCAAGACATTGTTTTTTGGTTTTGTTTGTTGGTTATTTTTGGTGCTGTTTTTTTGTTTTGTTTGGTTTGGTTTTGTTTTTAAACTCTCCAGGTGATTCTGATTTTCAGCTAGTGTTGAGAGCCACTAACATAGATGGTTTTGTTATTTCCTCAGTATAGCCCCAAACTTGGGCCTGGGTGGATCTTCTACAAAAAGGGTTAATCACTTCAGTATGTAATATAGAATACCTCAGGAGAAGGTATTAGTAAAGTCCATTCTAGTCTAATTGCATGGGATTCTGGGTTGAAGGAAAAATTGTGTAGCAACAGAATCGTGGTACAGTAATGGTACAGTCCACAATGATGACCATAACCACAGCAACTGGTAGGTGGGAGCATTGCCAGTTTGCACATGCTGTGCTAAGCATGTTACACACATGATCTCTTTTACCCTAAGAATCCTGTAAGGTTGGTGTTATCCCCATTTTATAGATGAAGAAACTGAGCTTCAGACAAGTTAAATGACTTTTTACCCAAGGTTACCTACCTTCCAAACTGGGTTTTCCTGATTTCAAAACCTATGTTGTCATTGACTGCAGACCTCATTGTAGTTCCAGCAGTAGAGGGTCCTGAGAACCACCAGATAAATCTTGAGATAAACAACTTCCCTCATTCCTTAGCATCCCTTTCCTGGGGACCAGGTCGAGTCTTCAATTTTAGTGTTTGTGGGAGCTAAAGTGTGGAAAAGCTACGGGCTCTAGATTCACCTGGAATCCAGTATAAGTCTAGAACCAACTTGTTCTTTGGGCTTTGCAGACCAGGCATGAGGTAGGATGCTCCTTAGACTAGATTTCAGAATCTTCCTGGTATTTTGGCAGAGGAAGTTTCAGTT